GGAATCCTCCCCGCTGTGCTATTGTGTTCTGACAGCAGTGAGACTCCTCTGCTGTCAGAATACATGTCAATGCTGCAGCAGCTGGAAGGGTGGCTTTTATCTGACAGGCCTTGGTAACCAATACAGCGAGGGGCAGACAAATCGCTTTACTGATAATGCCATCCCTTAATGGCCCCATATGTTACAATCCCATTGAGAAAGCTACAGATTTACCAAAAGCCATGTAGCTGACATGAGAGCATGCTAGGACAACCAATTCCAGTAATATCTCATCTGACCCTTGCATTACACAGTGTTAGTGTATCTACAAGAGATTGTAACATGTGGGACCAATTTAATCTCTTCCCACCTTGCCGCAATGTCCATTTACACATGGGGTTGGGAAGGACTGCCCAATCACTTGACCACATCTATTATATAGTTGGTCCTGCAGTGAGCGTGCTTTCAGCACAGAAACATTAGCCACCCATGGACGCATAGGTGGGCATTAAAGCCCACCCACTTTATCACCGCACATATGCGATCCGTGGACAGCAAGAGGTTGAGTGAAAATACCACATGCTTTTTACATGTTTAAAATGGTGGTAGTGGTTTATTTTAGTAACACTTCAATGGTGTACACATGTAAACTGTGCAGCCCCGAAAAAAAAAAACATTGAGAATCTGAGTGTAAATTGTGTACTGTTGCTGTCTTCGGCAGAGTGAGCTGCGAGTTCTGCATTGATTGTAGTTTTTGCTGCTTAAAGTAATTCTATTTTTAAAAAAACAAAAATAAATTGTGATAATAAAGTATTTCTTGGAAGAGTTGGCTGTGTTCTAGTGCTACAATCTGTTTTATAACATCATGAATTGGGATATGGAATCACTGTAAATAGAAACCTCACAATCACAGGTTCTTTTTTTTCGTTTCTTTTAGCATCATTTTGGTGTGTGTGTGTGTGTGTGTCAATCACATGGCAGCAACTCAATGCATTTAGGCATGGAGACGTGGTGAAGATGACTTGCTGCAGTTCAAACCAAGCATCAGAAAGGGGATATAAGTGACTTTGAACGTGGTATGGTTGTTGGTGCCAAACGGGGCTGGTCTGAATATTTCAAAAACTGATCTACTGGGATTTTCTTGCACATCCAGCTCTAGGGTTTACAGAGAATGGTCCAAAAAAGAGCAAATATCCAGTGAGCGGGCAGTTATGTGGACGAAAATGCCTTGTTGATATCAGAGGAGAATGGACAGACTGGTTGCTGCAGCAGTCAGATAGTAGGGGTCAAAATTTGCAGTAAACAACATGAAAGCATGCAGTATAAGATAGGTGCAGCGCTAAAAATAATGAACCAAATAAAACAAGTATATTGCAGCAATTCCAGTTCATAAACAGTTCAAAGAAGTGGTTAAAGTGCTCTTTAAGGTGCTTGCTTCTTCCTGGAGACCGGTGACTGTGCAATAATGATATAGAGAATGCGCACTCACCGGACGCGCATATATAATGCACCTGTATCAGTAACTCCAAAGGACATCGGAGCAAGCCAGGAATGGGGATGTCTTCTCTCTAAGGGGTGAGTTGTCATCAAAGGTATCCCAAGGTTCTTAAATGGTGATCCACATCTGCCAGAGTAACAGAGAACTGCTGCCTGTAACATGGTTCACCATGACCATTGTGGTGGGTCAATGATGGTCTGGGGAGACATATCCATGGAGGGACGCACAGACCTCTACAGGCTAAGACAATGGCACCCTGACTGCCATTAGGTATCGGGATGAAATCCTTGGACCCATTGTCAGACCCTACGCTGGTGCAGTGGGTCCTGGGTTCCTCCTGGTGCACGACAATGCCCGGCCTCATGTGGCGAGAGTAATGCAGGCAAAAGCAACTGATCTCATTACATACAGTCACTCATATGCCAATCAAGCTCTATGGGGCCGGGCAATGAGCACGGGGCCCACTAGAGGACGTCGAGCCCTCAGGACACCCTCAAAGACTGTTTCTGATTGGTCAGAGACATTCACACCAGTGGCCTGCTGGAGGTCATTTTGTAGGGCTCTGGCAGTGCTCATCCTGTTCCTCCTTGCACAAAGGAGCAGATACCAATCCTGCTTAAGGGTTTAAGGACCTTCTACGGCCCTGTCCAGCTCTCCTGGAGGAACTGCCTGTCTCCTGGAATCTCCTCCATGCTCTTGAGACTGTGCTGAGAGGCAAAAAAAACCTGGCAATGGCACGTATTGATGTGCCATCCTGGAGGAGTTGGACTGCCTGTGCAACCTCTGTAGGGTGCAGGTATCTCCTCATACTACCAGTAGTGACACTGACCCTAGCCTAGTGAAAAAACAGTCAGAAAAGAGGAGTAGGGAAAAAAAAATGTCAGTGGCCTCCACCTGTAAAACCATTCCTGTTTTGGGGTCGTCTCATTGTTGCCCATCTAGTGCACCTGTTGTTAACTTCATTAACACCAAAGCAGCTGAAACTAATTAAGAACCCCGACTGCTACTAAAATGACCAGATCAATTAAAAAGTGTTCCTTTTAATTTTTTTGAGATGATATATATAAAAATATACAGTACACACACAGTATATTGTGGCTGTAAACTAAGCTTCTGCTTCTCTATAGCTTACTAATCTATACTACAGCCCACATTACCCGTCTAATGATACTGTGCAGGGGCAGACTGACAACTCATGGGGCCTCCGGGCAATAAGGGATCATGGGGCCCCTGTGTCCTTGCCCAAACTCAAAAAAGCCTATGAAAAAGGTACCAGGGGCATCTCATGGGGCCCCCCACTGAGACCCCGGGCCCTCGGGCAGTGCCCAAGTTTCCAAATGGTCAGTCCGCCCGATACTGTGTGACTGGATGCTTTCTTGCCTTGACTGCCTTCATGTTACATGTGTTCCCACAGCAAACAGTGGCCTCTTCATCTTCCTTTAGATTTATTCCACAACAAGCTGGCAGACTGCCCATTTCTTTGGATGGGAGCAAATTCTTTCTAGAACGGAGGTCAAAGGTATGTACATCCTCAATGGGCACAGACTGAGGATTCAGGTCAGCAAAGGTTGTCTATGAACTCTGGTACTCCCTTTGTCCCCCTCCCATCCCCTACCTGCATTCTAGCAACCAATGTCCTAGCAACCAAGGTCATGCTTGCCCCAGCATTCACAGGAAGATGAAACATCCTCAGTCCAGACCTGCTCCAGCCACACTGTAAGACTTACAATGGTAAGGGAAATTTTGATGTAGGGATGCGGACTCTGATGTAAAAGACACACTGATACAAAGGACACTCATTCATAAAACAGATTTTTTTTTTCTCCATCCATGAATAATATTCTAGCCAACGAAATAAACGCCCAAGCACTTGATGTGCCTAAACACATTTGCAAAATGCAGCTTAGGTGTACCTGATTGAAGCTGCTTTTCTCCTGCTTGGAGAAAAACTTTGACAAAAGCCCCCAATGTGAATGAAGCCATCTCTCCAAGGTCTGTAAACAAGTGTATCAAAAAAAACCAATGCACTACATCAATGTCCATTTCGAACAAATTAAACTCTCATTCTTCCCGAATCACAATTTAAAAACATACACAGACATAAAAAAACGATACTCGGTTTTAACAAAGATTTTTTTTTTTGTTTTAATATTTTCATATATAAAACAGAACCATACATCTCTTAATAAAAACAATTTAGAATGTATACAACATACACAAGTAATATACAGCTTATACAGAATTGATCTTACAATGCATAAGGCATTCGGTTTCTTACCAGAACCATAAAATCTGAGGCCAATGGGGTTTCTTCCTAACGTGCACATCTGTGGGCTGTTTTCAAGTACGAGTTGACAGGAATAATCTATCCTACAATCGAAACAGAACTCGGCCTTTCAGTTTGTGTCTTAAAGAGGTTCTGTAGGAAAAAAAGAGTCAAAACACTTTCCTCTTACAAAGGTGGATTGTGTGATTTTAGGGTCTCACCTCTTTAATTGCCAAAGAGCTGAAGGCTGCTTAAAGCTTTCCAAAAATAATCCAGAGAATGGTCCTTGCAATAGAATACTGAAGACTTGCCTTACCGTAGTCCTCTATCTAGCTGTGCGGCCGCGTTTTGCACGGGCACGAGAGCCCATTCATTTGAATGGACTCCCGTGCCCGTGACACGCAGGAAAGAAAGTCCCTGCACTTCTTTGGAAAATGCAGCCCGCACGGGAACCTCGGTTCTCAGTACAGTTGCGTTTTCCAGTGCGGGCGGAGTGCCATTAGAACTATTGGTACCCGCCCCATCGGGGTCCGCATTTCTATGCGGATCCGCAGCGGCACCACCCGCATAGATGTGAACCGGGGGTTACTGGCAGGTGGCAAGTCCGATCTTCCTTGTTCAAGTGGTATAGCCACCGACTAAAGCCAGCCATAGATAATTCAATCCATGTATGGGCAAGGCGATTGATCGACATGGGTATAACCAGCATGTTGGGTTTCTTGCATGCGATTCTTGCCAGCAGCTCCAACCCGTGCCCCCCTGCCAGGAGAACAGAATAGCACCAGGGGAGGGACTCCCCCCATTAATACTGTGTAGATGGGGGCATCAAACTATTTTTTTTTCCTGTAACCCTGCAAAGAAAATCGCATCATCTATGCCCCGTCTAAAACTTTACAGAGGGAAGGGGGTGGGGTTTAGGCATCCGACACACCCATAAGTGTGTCGATGCCTAAACCTTCCCCTCCTTCCCACTGTGCTCAATGATTCTTTCTGCTAACCCCTAGCCCACTACTATGTCCTATAACCAGTGGAGTCCTGAAGCAGGTGCGGGGGGTGCACGTCCGCACCGGGTCACACCGACCACACGGGTTGACACCTGACCAACTCTACGAAAAGGTAAGTTGTAAATCAAGCCGACGATCCCCGCAGGATGGATCCGATCCATCCTGCATGGAAAATGACTTGTCTGTCTTTGTAACGAAGCAGAAAGAGTTTCGTTTTGTAGGGCTACTTCACAGACTCAACGGAACACACTTGTCATCTGTTCTGGGGGCAGCTCGTTCGGTTGTGGCCGGGCTGGTGACAGATGCCACACGTGCGCGCTCTCTTGGCTGTCGGAGCTTTGTCAGAGTTATCGGTTCTTTTATTTTTCTGACCAAATCCTCCTCTGAAAGTGGTAGGAAAATCTCCAGAAGGACCTGTGAGAAAACAGACAGGATGTTGGTGAGATGCCAATACCCAATACTTTTGCAGGTAAGTGGGCAGCATAATAAAGGCCATTTAGTTCATACCAGCAGCATCTCTATGGCTGTGATAATACATTGACACACTTTTAGAATTGTTGAGGGTCATTCTATTTAGCCAGGTATAGACAGAACATGGCCCATTTCCTATGGGTTTCTCACCTGGAGGGACGTTCTCGTCAGCCCACTGGAAGAAGCCACACTGTTGCTCTCTGGGTTTGGAGCAGGTGTGGAACTGTCTGCCTTTGTTGGAGCCATCCTTTTGCACAGTACGAGTAATGGCCGGCTGATTGCACATGCACTTGGTCTGTCCTCCCAAATCCCTGCTTCCTCCTGCCGTTCTAAACCCTTCGGAGGCACTGGAACTGTTGAACGAGGTTGATGGACATCCTGCGGACACCTGCAGTAGAGGGGGACTCCTGCCAGCCCCGTTTTCCTGATCCGCCCACAAAAAGAAGTTGCATTTTCCTTCGTTGCATTTGTAAAACTGGCGCCCCTGGTTGGGTCCCTCTTTACGCACAGTAAGCTGCACAGCACCGACACCACAGTTGCACACCACTTCATTATTCGCAGGATTTACACTGATGGGTGGCGCACTTTTCTGCACCGCTGGTGTCACCAGTTGTGTTTTTTCGCTCTTTTTTTGTGGTGGCTGCCTGTTTTGGCCGCCTCGGCCATTGGTCATTCGGTTACTCGTCTGGTTAACCTGCAGGTGGTTGTTCTCACGGGGAGGGCCAGGCTGGGGTGCTCTGCTGCCACCCTGTAGATATTTCAGATCAAGGATTTCTCGAAGAGTTTCATCACAGCCACCAATACAGCCCACAAACTCCAGGGGCATCAGAGGGGGGACACTGCCACGTTTAAACTTCAGCTTCAACCTGCAGAAGAAGCAACAAAATGTCAATTAATAAACCTATCTGTAAAATGAGAAAAGTTGCTATACACAGAGGGATCTGCTGGTTTGCAAAGAAGTGATCAGACCCCTGACCTCATGTAACATGCTCATTCAATATTCCATATGTAGTGAGATCTAGTATGCCGTATGGATGAGCGTTTTATTTAACTAGGTTATTTCTACTCTTTATTAGGAGATGATGAACGGTCAGACAATCCGTTTGTTAGATGACACTTTTCTTTTTTTTTTACCCCACCTCATCCCTGGATTCATCACCGCAGGTCCACCATCCACACAAGGGAAAACTGCCACAATTTCTCCAAAAATATTCAGTGTGTGAAAAAAGTTTCATTACGGCAACCTGTCATGCGAGGGTTTGGGGATGTATTAAGATGTTAAATAGTACTGCAACTGACCACGAGCGCAAGGCAAGAGGGGTAAGAGCACTGCCATTGACTACCAGGTGGGGGGGTTGGTGTCACAGATACCAATGCTGGGGGTTATTATTGCAACCACCAACCAAGAAAAGATTACAAAAAAAAGTCAGCAAGGTTGCAACCACCAACCAAGAAAAGATTAAAAAAAAAAAAGTCAGAAAGGGGGCAAATACTTTTTCACGGCACTGTACATATTGTCACAAACTTAATCAGCCATTGGTCAGATAAACTGCATGCGTGAGAGAATCCTGCTAAATCCTAAAGAAGAGTTTATACAGGATAGAAAGGTTATCATGGAGATGGGGATATTAATCCAAGCAAAGTAAACAAGTACATGTAAATCACACTGCGCCTTGTTCAATCAGATTTTGCTTTCTTTTTTTCCCCCTATAATGCACTGTGAAAAAAGAGGAAGCACATGGCTGCTAAGGGGACCGTGTTCTTTGCGCTGACAAAGTCTGGCATCTGCTAAACGTTGTCCATAAATGGATAGAAATTAGTCTGGTCCCTGCTGAACCGGCCGAATTTCAATCCGTCTATGACCATTCCCATTGGAAAGGAGACAATCTAGTCTCCTGCCGAACAGGACTGCTGGAGATTTTGTGTCCAATCACATGCAGCCAATCGTCTACATCACTGATCAGTGTACTCCGACGGTGGAAGAGTCCGCAGTCGCAATACAATAGCGCAGCATGGAGGATTTCCCACATCCACCTCAAATGTGTGACTGGGGAAATCTGTTCAATTTTTTTTTCTCAACCTGCCTGCTGGCCAGGGTGGATAAAAATCAATGATTTAAAAAAAAAAAAAAAAAAAACAATTTTTTTTATTTAAATCGGATTTTTTTAAATAAAAAATGCTTTTTGAGGAAAATATATTACCATCCAAAGGTTATTCCATCATGAAATAAAGATTAGTTTTTTAATTATGTAGAATACGGCTGTATATGTTTAATTGTTTTGGTAAATAAATTCCATGAATCCATTCACAATGTCAGGCTCTTCCAGAGGTTTTTGTAAGATTATTGGGCAGTTTCTCTGCCTACAAGATATTATCACAGATGTTTCGGTTTACTTTTGCAGTTCTCAAAACTGAATTTGACTCAGCGGAGATCACATGACTCTTCTTCACAGCAAAAATGTTATAACATGAACAGAGTTAAGAAAAAGACCTTCATCCTAACTTCTACAAACCTCTGAATACAGAATCAACCCCTTCACTGCTAAGGTTCAAGAAGTTCAGTGAATAGAATAGAAACAATATTTTTCTGATTGTTTGGAGTGGAATAGATCTGCACAAGAAGAAAGTGAAACTAAGTGTGAGGAGGAGGGGGTGACAGTCTAAGTTTCCTAAAATATATATATATTTTTTTAGCCAAATTAGTTACCAAACATGGATGTTTAAGCAAATCACATCTGCTGGAATGTTATTGTTTCAGATGAATAAATCTATTTAAATTGTTATTATTACGGTAATGATTATTTTTCTCCTTCCTAAATACAACAGAAAAGTTGTCCAAATATGAATGATTAACCTATTAAACTGGGGATAAAAAAACGAATATGAAAAGTTGTTATTCTAAAAATCTTCATCTACTTGTATATTAAAGTTATACCAGCAAGAATTAGTCTTTATGTAGAAAACTAGGATTTACATCAATCCTTACTGACTAGTGATTTAAATCAAATCCACCCTGCCGCTGGCTGAGCAAAAAAACAAAAACAAAAAAAAAAACGTAATAATGCATGACCAGCTTTAGTTAGCTGAATGTACCGTATTTTTCGCCGTATAAGACGCACTTTTTCTTCCCCAAAACTGGGGGGGAAATGTCAGTGCGTCTTATAAGGCGAATATGGAGCGGCCGGTCCGGTATTTCCACCGCGGCCGTGTCAGAATACCGGGCCGGCCGCTCAGCTCTGCAGCGGGACCTTACCTGTTCCTCTATCCAGCGGCGTGCTGTCTTCCAGGCTTCTGTAGTGTGGGCACTGGGCATGACAGCCGGGTGCCCAGTGCGCATGCGCGAGAAGCGGTGCGCTTTGTGAATGGTAAGGCGGTACCTGGGACACATGACAGATCCCAGAAGCCGCTGGACCAATCACAAAGCGCAAGTGCTTCTCGCTCATGCGCACTGGGCACCCGGCTGTCATGCCGAGCGCCATTACAGAAGCCTGGAAGACAGCGCGTGGCTGGATCGAGGAACAGGTAAGATCAAACAAAAAGTAAGTAAAAGTAAGTAAAAGTCCGCAGTCTCTGGTCATCCCTGTGCTGTCCGCAGTCTCTGGTCATCCCTGTGCTGTCCGCAGTCTCTGGTCATCCCTGTGCTGTCCGCAGTCTCTGGTCATCCCTGTGCTGTCCGCAGTCTCTGGTCATCCCTGTGCTGTCCGCAGTCTCTGGTCATCCCTGTGCTGTCCGCAGTCTCTGGTCATCCCTGTGCTGTCCGCAGTCTCTGGTCATCCCTGTGCTGTCCGCAGTCTCTGGTCATCCCTGTGCTGTCCGCAGTCTCTGGTCATCCCTGTGTTGTCCGCACAGTGCTGTCCGCAGTCTCTGGTCATCTCCTGTACTGTCCGCAGTCTCTGGTCATCCCTGTGCTGTCCGCAGTCTCTGGTCATCTCCTGTACTGTGTCTGCAGTCCATTAGTTCAGAATTTTTTTTTTTCCTGTTTTCTGCCTCTAAAACCTAGGTGCGTCTTATGGTCAGGTGCGTCTTATACGGCGAAAAATACGGTATACTCACTTGTGGACTGGATGAGGTCTACACACATCACACACACTATCATCCCGTGACACCTCCAGAACAAAACTGGGCAACCAGATTGTCGTTTTACAACTGGGATAACCCGTACACGAAATGTAGAACCTTAATGAGAAAGAAAAGACAATTTCTATCAGTGAGGAAAATGAATTCTTCTGTCAGGAGGTCACCTGATCAACATCATGAGATGTCAAACATGGCTGCTCCTTTGCCCTCACTCACCCTCCATCTCTCTTGGTCTTCAGCACCATATCCCTGCTACAGTATGGACATTTTCGTATAGGCACTGGCGTTTCCGCATAGATCTCCTGCTGTTGCACATGCTCTGCTGCCTGGCCAAAGTACTGAGACAGAGCCTCGTCCAGCCTGTTGAGTGGGAGCACAGAACCAAGTGCGTTTGGTTAGCATACAGCAGAGCCACTGTGACAGAATGTATAATGTTCTCTTAAAGTGGACCTTTAAATAAAATTTACAAGTCTGCAATAATAAATTCCTGACATTAACAGTCAGTGATTTTGCTTAGGCTGAGATGATGCCATCATTGTCAGAGGATGTACTGTGATCTCTGTGAGAGGTAATAAATAGCTGTCAGTGTTACACTTACACATTAATTATCATGAATGCGCTTTGACATGAATTGTACAGGAAGTCTGGCTACTTAAATGTGTATTTCTAGGGAAAAATCATAATAAGTACATATCTGCAATACATTCTATATTCCTGTGTTTTGTCTCTTTAATTACACTGCAAGTACAGGAAAATACCGGTCGATCTGGCAGAAATCCAGAGTGCTGCTAACTTTCTGAGAAGGCTGACAACACAGTGCCTCTGGTGCACTGAAATCCAAAGCAGTGTAGTAAGGGAGATGAAGAGAAGGGAGAGAAAAGGAGGTGTTCTGTAGCTCAACAGGGTAGGGCATTGCCTGGGCAGGATTGACGACGACAATTGGGATGTCAGTACAGCAGAGCAGGGGTGTATTTACCACAAAGCAAACAAGGCATTTGCCTAGGGCAGCATTTTTCAAGGGGGGCAGCACTGACCCTAGGAAGAAGGGACACACACGGCATGGGAACCTGGTGGGTTCTAATAGAGGTTGCAGGTTTCATGACGGTGTACGCACAGCCCGACTCTCATTCCCGGGGATGTCCGGAGCTATGAAGGTGAGTGTCTCTCTCTCTCTCGCCATGGGGGACGTTGGCCGACCCCGGCTAACTACTGGAATCCCCTACTCCCCCAACCACTCCATCCCCCACAGCTAATTTCCTCTTGTACCACTATCTCCTCCCTCCTAGATTGTAAGCTCCCAGGATCAGGGCCCTCAAATCCCTCTTGTATTGAACTGTATTGTTACTGTACTGTCTCCCTCCATAATGTAAAGTGCTGAGCAAACTGTTGGCGCTATAGAAGTCCTGTATAATAATAATAAATGGGGGGCAGTGGCAGTGGAAGGCTCTCGCGGGTGGGACTCAAGGGTGTTTGTGGTCAATGTCAGGCTCTCTCTGCGGGGGGGGGCGCCAATTTTTGTGTTGCCTAGGGCAGCACAATACCTAAATACACCACTGCAGCAGAGGCACTTTGTTGTCAGCTCAAACAGGAAGTTAGGAGCTCACTGGATTTCTGACAAATCAAAATGTATTTCTCTGCACTTGCAGCATTTTGCAAATGAACAAAAGGAGAAAAAAAGTTTCCTGATAAATAGGCACCATCCCCAAAATATGGAGTTGAATATAAAGAAAGGGACCCCCTAAATTGGTTGGGACTTTGAAAGCATAGATACATAGATTGAATTAAAAATGCGAAATCTTTATTTTGTCAAATTACAAAGTTACATCATAATTTCTATGTGTGTAATTTGACAAAATAAAGATTTCACATTTTTAATTCAATCTATGTATCTATGCCTTCAAAGTCCCAACCAATTTAGGGGGTCCCTTTCTTTATATTCAACCCCATTTTGCAAATGAAAAGCCTAGAAAAATGTGCATGTATAGCAAAGATGTCATGAAGATGCATCTTTTTATTTGGCCTAGACATAGTACATTAACTGAAACATGACATATTCATTGATGGACACTATTAGGCCTCGTTCACACCATGGTGCAGAGACGTCAGTTTTTCTGCATGCGTTCTGCAAGGGCACAACAAATCAATTGTTCTCTATGTGCCCTGTTCACATCACAACAGTAGTATCACTTGCAGATTTTTTTCAGCAGAGAACTTTGCAATGTGTATGTAAACTCACTGCATCACGCTTGAAAACTGATGTCTCTTCAAGTGAAATCTGTGCATCAGTTTTCATCAGCTTTTCTGCACTCATGGTGTGAACGAGGCCTTAATGAATCTTAATTACAGGCTAAACTCTTTTAGGCTAGGTTCACACCTATGCAGTTTGCGTTTTATCTGTTTCTGCAGTGCGTTTTGCTTTTTTGCTGCATTTTTTTGTTACTTGTTGCTGGGCAGATTAACTACTTGCCGCCCAGCCACTGTACATATACGGCGGCAGGGCGGCACTTGCAGGCAAAATCACGTTTTAAAACGTGTGTTTTGTAAACAAACAGGGGGCGCGCGCGAGGCGCGCCGCCGCCCTATCTGTCCCGTGGATCACCGCCGCAGATGTCAGTCGCCGGGTCACAGCCGCTCCTTAGCGGCTATGTCCCGGCGATCGGCGGTAAACAGTGACAGACAGCACAGCTGCAGTAGCTGTGCTGTCTGTCACTTCCCTGTCAGCTCGAGGATGAGCTGATCGAGAAAGAACAGTTTCTCTTTCTCGATCAGCCTTGTCCCGCCCAGTACACACCCCCGCCCCCTAGTAAAACACTCCCCTCACTCCTATAACCCTTCCCTGCAAAATAAAAAGTTAACCCCTTCCTCCCCATTGCCATTAGTACAGTGTCAGTGTTTTTTTTTTTTTTGCACTGATCGCTGTATTAGTGTTTTTGGGGACATCAGTGACCCCAAGTCAGTACCCCCCAATGTCAGAATGTCCGCCGCAGTCCCGCCATAAGTCGCTGGTCGCTGCCATAAGTCCCTGATCGCCGCCATAATTCGCTGATCGCCGCCATTATTAGTATAAAAAAAAACAAAAAACTAAAAATCCCAGTATCTCTTTCCCGCCATTTGTAAACGCTATAACTTTCACGTAAACCAATTAATTTACACGTATTGGGTTTTTTTTTAGCAAAGACATGTCGCAGAATGCATTTTGGCAGAAATTTACGACTAAATTTGATTTTTGCATTTTTTTTTTACTGGACATGTTTTATAGCAAAAAGTCCAAAATATTGTTTTTTTTCCCTCAAAATTGTCAGCCTTTTTTTTATAGCGCAAAAAATAAAAACCGCACAGGCAATCAAATACCACTGAAAGAAAGCCCAATTTGTGGGGGAAAAAAAGGATGTAAATTTCATTTATGTACCATATTGCATGACCGCGCAATTGTCCGTTAAACTAGCGCAGCGCTGTATAGCAGAAAAATGGCGTAAATTGCAGTATCTATACCATAGTTTGTAGACGCTATACCTTCCACACAAAGCAATCAATATACACTTATTGGGATTTTTTTTACCAAAAACATGGAGCAGAATACATTTTGGCCTAAATTTATAACCAACTTTGAGTTTACTATATATTTTTTATAGCTGAAAATAAAAAATATTGTTTTTCTTCAAAATTTTTGGCCTTTTTTTGTTTATAGCGTGAAAAATAAAAAGCGCACAGATGATCAAATACCACCGAAAGAAAGCTCTATTTGTGTGAAAAAAAGGCCGTAAACTTCGTTTGGGTGCAGCATTGCATGACCGTGCAATTATCAGTTGAATTAGTGCAGCGCCGAGTAGCAAAAAGAGGCCTGGTCATTAAGGGGGGTAAATCCTCAGGAGCTCAAGTGGTTACAATGCCAAAAGCATCAAAAATGTGTAAAAAAAAAATACATAAAAAAAACAAACTACATGCTTTTCTGCAGTGTCTTCGTTGAAGTCTATAGAACCAAAAACACAACGTTTTGCATTTACAAAAATCCCTGACCCTTTCCAAAAAATGCCCCGGGCGAAAACGCAGAGATGTGAACCTGTCCCATAGAAAATCATGTTAAACTGTGCGTTTCTGCAAACGCAGCGAAAAACACATAGGTGTGAACCTAGACTTAGGCAAATCAACCTGGAATGCAGGTTTACTGTCCTATTAATGTACACATTATTTAGAAGAGGAACTCCGCTCACATGGTGGCTTTGGCTGCAGCCTCTATGAAGACCTGCTTGTATTTCTGCACTTGTTGTCTCAGGACGGTGAACTTGTCCTTTTTTCCTTCACAAATGAGCTTTAGATCCGCCTCCAACTCAGCTCGAAGGTCAGGCTTGGACATCTCGAAACCCATGGAATCGTATCCTAAGCAATGAAGAGGGATAGCAGGTCTTGTGGATGGAATTGTAACTGCTAATAAGCTTTGAATAATCAAACAATTTTGTTTTGGAAGAGCAGAAGTCCAGGGCTTACCCTCCACCAAGCCCATCCCTAGTTCTCCTGGAAGGAACCTCTGCTCTGGGGTAAGGCCCACGTACATGCGTGACTTAATGGTCTCAATGTGCTCTGCATGGGTAGCGTCAGTCCCCTCTGCAAGAAAAAATACTAATATAGCATACACATCAGCCACTAAAGATGAACAAATACAATACAATCCTGGTAACCCTGCAAGAGGAATGTGACTTCTAATGATCAGAGTTCTAATGAGAAGACCTCAGAGTGTTGTTGTGTGAAGCTGCTATTCCTTCACTGTGTAATCACAGGCTGGGGCAATCTCCATTGCAGGCTGTACTGCTGAAGTGCATTATAATGCAGGGAGGCTGGTCCTGGCTGTTCTGTGCAGCACAGGTTTCTACATCACAACACTGGCAGAACAGAGATGCAATTTTTTGATAGGTACAGGATTTCTGATATGTGTATTTAACCACTTATCATGAAGTCAGCTTTAAAGTTTTTTTTTTTTACAGAACCATTTATGGATGTATCATATATAATAAATCTAAAAGGTTTATTATTTATGATTCTGGACTTTCAAGGGTGCTTGAGGTGACTGTAGCCGTATTAGTGCATCTGCGACAGGAACAATTGAGTACTGTCCATGATACTTTTTTTTATTTGCACTAACATACAATTTTGAGGACAAGCTTTCGGGGAATGTCCCCTTCTTCAGATCTAAGCAGTACTGAAACAAAGATTTAGCAGAATGTTAGAAGAGATGTAGGGATGGGAAAAAAAAAACAAAAAAAAAAAAAAAAACAGAGATAAGACACAGCAAAAGCAAAGTCTGGGGGGGAGACAACACTAGCAGAGGCAGTCATGCTTCAGCTGATAGTCATAAAACTGTTGGATAATGATTGAGGAATCAAATATTATTATTATTATTATACAGTATTTAAAAAGCGCCAATAGTTCGCTCAGCGCTGTACATTACAAAGGGGGACAAAACATGTGACAGAACAATACCAATACAATGCAAAACATGAGGGGATCGAGGGCCCTGCTCTTTCGAGCTTACAATCTAGGAGGGAGGGGATAGTGGTACAGGAGGAGATAGCTGTGGGGGATGGAGTGGCAGGAAGAGTGGAGGAGGTCAGCAAGTTAGCAGGTGGTGGGGTAGGCTTCCCTGAAGAGATGGGTTTTCAGGGTGCGCCTAAAGGAGAGGAGAGTAGGTGATAATCTGATGGGTTGGGGCAGGGAGTTCCAGAGGATGGGTGACACCCTGGAGAAGTCCTGGAGGCGGGCATGGGAGGAGGAGACCAGGGAACTAGAGAGAAGGAGGTCTTGTGAGGAGCTGGGCGGTACTTGGATATTAGGCAGTGATGTAGTTCGCGGCAGTATGGTGGACGGCTTTGTACGTCAGTGTTAGGATTTTGAATTTGATCCGTTGCGCAATCGGAAGCAGGTGGAGGGATTGGCAGAGGGGGGTGGCGGAGACGGAGCGGTTGGAAAGGTGAAGGAGTCTGGCAGCCATATTCAGGATGGACTGAAGCGGGGATAGCCAGCGGCGAGGCAGGCCAGTGAGGAGGGAGTTGCAGTAGTCCAGTCATGATATGATGAGGGAGTGGATGAGCTGTTTAGTGGTTTCTGGAGTTAGGAACGTGCGGATTTTGGCGATGTTGCGGAGGTGGAGTCTGCACGAGTTTGTTAAAGATTGGACTTGGGGCTGGAAGGATAGGTTGGAGTCCAGAATGACACCAAGTACTCTGGCCCATATCCAAATTCAGGCCGTTATCTCTTGTGTCAAATAGAATTATCTTTCTTAGTTCAAAAGTTTTTCTTTCCTGAATGGATTTGAAATTTCCTTTAAGAACTAAAATATTGAGATCTCCCAAAGTGTGTTCTGGTTGTGCGAAATGGTGTCCCACAGGTGTGCAAAGGTCTTTCAAGGGTGAAAGTGGGACTTTGAAGTGTCACATAGGGTTTTATCACTATTTATTATTGATTTATTTTGGATACCAAATTTATATCACAGTCAACATTTATGGATGTAATATATTCATAAAAGGGTTACAAAATCTTTGTTAAATTCCCCAGGGGACCAAGTGAATGTAGCACCTGGTCCTGCCCTGATCCATGGCTGCACTGTACATAAAGCATATTTTTTTTTCTTTCTGCTGGCTGTCAGCTGCAACCCAGGCTGAAGCCCAATTTATGGGTGTTCCTATGGAGAAACTAAAGCAAAGCACAGAAGCCAACTCCAACATGTGTGTGCTGTGAAGTACCAATAAGTACTGCAGCGATGCTCCTATCCCTCTGCTGTGATGAATGACAGAGCTACACCACCATCTCTTCCTCTGTGTGCTGTAAAGTGTCTCCAAAAGTAAAGAGAGCAGTGATACTCCTCTCCCCAGTGTGATGGATATCAACGTAGTCAGTGCCATTTCCCCTCTGTTTGCTGTGAAGTGTCTCTAAAATTAACAGTGCAGCAATGCTTTCCTGTCTGACTGCTGCGGACAATTCTGCATGTTAGCTATAATTACATACAGGTGTCACACTGACAGGTGATGAACGACAACACTGTCAAAACCCCCTATGCTTCATGTGCGGGGTCACTCGAACCTAATGAGATATTAGTTTCCTTCTGAGCAGCATGATCAAACAGCATTGGGGTGAGGGGGCCACACTGTCGACCACGCTAGCTCAATAACTACAGCACAGATCAGAAGCGCCCCAAGTGGTACATTTACTTGGTTCCCTAAGGCAGGGGTGGGTAACTGTGGCCCTGCAGCTGTTGGTGAACTACAAGTCCCATCATGCCTCTGCCTTTGAGAGTCATGCTTGTAACTGTCAGTTTTGCAATGCCTCATGGGACTTGTAGTTCTACAACAGATGGAGGGCCACAGTTGCTCACCCCTGCCCTAAGGGATTCAAATATTTTAGGTTGTAGTGATAGGTCTTCGTTAGGCTGCAGAACCATTTTATATTTTAGAAAAAAGTGAGAAAGAGCAACATATTTTCATCCTCGTGCGTGAATGAAGAACAGTTTGTATTACAAAAAACAGTCAACCTTCCCATTATAGCAAGTTGAAAAAGAAAAAAAAAGCTATTTGGTTGCTTTGTTTTTAGAAGAAAAAGAAAAAGTGTTGTTCATCCTAGACACTCTTTTTAAAAATGTCAAAGCGCTTCATACACAGATTGTTTCTAGGATCATTCTAACTGAATCCTGCCAGACACAAAAACAGACACTGCAGTGTTCTTGGTAAGACATAATGGTACAATTGGATTGACTAGTTTACCTATTCCATGTTTCTCCATTAGAGATATGAGATCGGCTTCTGTAAGCAGCTGCGGTGGGGAGGTCTCGCCATCTACCATCTCCACCATGGTGGGCTGGAAGCTCTCACCCATCTCATACACAGGGATGACCTAAGGGAATAACAACATCACACCCTATGTTTAAATGTCAATTTTTCTATAAAGCCACCACAGCTAATTAGAGGCTTCCCCATTCTAGGAGCCCTCTTGGTGATCGGAAAAAGAAAGAAAAGAAAAAGAAATGTTCAGGTGTTATGCTATGGATTTTTAGAGAACTTTAGAACTCTGCCCTCAAAGTGGATCTGGACTCAAAAAGGGAAGATTTGCCATCTTACAGACGTCTAGAAATGTTAATTGTGCATAAGAAGTATCCTGAAATAATTACCTTATGGCCTGAATTCTTCCTGAAAAATAGTAAGGCACTTACCACCAGGGGCGGACTGACAACTCATGGGGCCCCCGGGCAACAGGGGATCGTGGGGCCCGTGTCCTTTCCCACACTCAAAGCCTATAAAAAAGGTACCAGGGGCATTTCATGGGGCCCCTTACTGACCCCGGGCCCTCGGGCAGTGCCCGCGTGCCTGAATGGTCAAGATCGCCCCTGCTTACCACTCCATGAGCCTTATAATTCAGTGTAAGATCTCCTAGGGCACTGCTGCCTCTGACTGCTAGTCTCACCAGATTTGACTATGTCTGCTGTGCTGTGCACTGTTCTCCTTGGTAGAGAGGAAGCTGTATCTGAAGATCTTCAGTGCAAGAATCTCTCTGCTCCTGAACTTTCTCACTTCTCCTACTGCTTCTGATCACCAGTCATAAGGGGGCAGCTCTGACAATAGGAAAAGACCCCTGTCTCTAGAATATATCTATCTCTAAGTAAGTGCACAGTGTAGAACAAGGCAAGGTAAGTCAGTAATGGGGAATAGATCAGCTACAGGTGGTCCACAGGCAATACAGATGGCTAGTTCTTGGCTCTTGCCTTGCATTTTTTGGGCAAATCTTTCACAGTACAGGCCCTCTTTAACTTCCCCAGCTTGGGCACATTACATGGTCATTGCAAAAAAGCCCCAGCAGTAGGTGTGAGACCCTAAGGTAGCCAGGAACAGAACTGGGAACTATGGAAGACCTTGGCAGGCCTGAAGAGGTACAAAAAGCCTCTTCAGGCCTGCCAAGGTCTTCCATAGTTTACTTTGACTGCTCAACACCACCAATAGCCAAAATACTGATTCTACACGGTCTGACCCTCTACAACAGTGTATATCTTCCAGTCGGGTAATATAGCACTGCACAGTGGTTTCATTGCACCTGAATATGATGGTAATTATCATACCGCTGTATGAGTATCAGCATTACATATACCTTTGTGTTCCACTTGTCGTACGGATAGACATCCAAGTAATTTCTGGCGATAATCATCAGCCCATGAGCCACAAACCTCTCGGCACCGATGTCGATCTCCACGGTGGTCTCCTGCCCCTGAGCATCCTGGGAGCAGCAGGCCAAGAAATGGCGCACAATGAACTCATAGATCCGCTGCTCGTTTCCCTGAAAGCAGAGATGTCAAATAAAACCACTTGCAGGCTTCTGGAATGATACTGCTGTATTCTTTTCTTCTCAAATCATTACCATTCTGATGAGAGTGAACATATAACCAGAGGAGCTGTCAACTTCACACAAAAGTCGGCTTGTGTTCTCAAAGGTCTTAAAGTATATCTAAAGCCAAAACCTTTTTTATTTCTTTTTTGCAGGGAATGGTTACAAATGGGTAACGGTTTCCCACTGGGGAGATTTCCTTTCATCTCCTATTCTGTACACAGAACAAGAAGTAGAAAAATCTCCCTTGGATAGATGCCACTGGACAGGTGTCCCCGTTGGGAGATTTCTGCTCTATTCCAGTTCCAGCGACAATTGTAACATGTTGGATTTCCCATCACCTTCTGCCCATGTGACAAGGGTAATTAGGAGGGTGAATCTCTGCAATGGGGACACAGGCAGCAATTAAAACTTGATAGGGATGCCAGTACATGATTCAAATGTGAAGACGATGTAGTGTTTTATGTAATACATACTGCATATGTACACCTCTCCTGTGCTCCTCCATCTTGTATGAATAAAAGAATTTACAAAGGAAAAAACCTGATAAGGAATTTTAAGCTGAAACTCCAGCCTTCCCTTCAGTGCCGCACAGCTGTACTGGCTGCTTTCCTGTACTGAAATTGTTTCCTATGATTTTACTGAACACTGTAAGACTCTCATGGTGTGAGTTAGAAGCTGCAGCAAGTCACATACAACCAACCTCATTTCCTCATTGGAGGACGTTCAGCATCATCTAGCAATTTCCTCCCCATCCTGACTGCCTCTGGCCTGCCACATTCAATCAGGGAGGTTCAGCCTCACACATGAGCATTACCTAGTGCAGTCTGCATTCAAATGCAGCCTGACTAGAAAAATTGATCTCTCTAGGGCAGGGTGCCCAGGGGTGCCTTGAAGTTTCTACAGGGGTGCCTTGGCATAATGTCTAAAAATTGCTCAACAGTTGTATACAAGCCAACGGGTGGATCAAGACTGCCTTTTAGTTACACAAAGTCACAGGTTTTCATTGTGCACCATTACCACCTTCTAGCCGCCGGCATCCTGACAACTAATGACATCATGAGCTGATAAAGAGGATGTCGCTTGCTTGCACAACATCCTAGTTTGACCCTCCCCCGCCCCTCTCCATCAGTGCTGGGGTCACATTAGCTCAGTGATGGAGAAAAACTGAGGGAAGAGAAACATGGGAATACTAGTCAGTACCAGTTTGCAAAAGTGTATTTGCTTTGGAAGAATAAATCACCTCTAACGTTGGGGGTCCTACGTGTGTGGATGTTGCTGTGTTACAGAAAACTATTAGAATAGTTTTTCATATTTTAGAATGGGGAGCTCAAGACTGTCCATATTTCTAAGTGGTGCTCAAGACTGTCCATATTTTTAAGTGGTGCCTCGGGACTGTCCATAATTTTAAAGGGTGCCTCGGGACTGTCCATAATTTTAAAGGGTGCTTCGGGAGTGTCCATAATTTTAAAGGGTGCCTCGGGACTGTCCATAATTTTAAAGGGTGCCTCAGGACTGTCCATAATTTTAAAGGGTGCTTCGGCTTCGGGTGCCTCGGGACTGTCCATAATTTTAAAGGATCTCGGGACTGTCCATAATTTTAAAGGGTGCCTCAGGACTGTCCATAATTTTAAAGGGTGCCTCGGGACTGGGACTGTCCATAATTTTAAAGGGTGCCTCGGAAGTGTCCATAATTTTAAAGGGTGCCTCGGGACTTTCCATAATTTTAAAGGGTGCCTTGACTGAAAAAAGGTTGAGAAACACTGCTCTAGACTGACATCCACCCACTTAGCCATTAATACTTTATATATAAACCTTTAACAGTATAATTTCTAATCACTCAGTTACTGCATTTGTGTCTTAGTACGTTTGGATTCTACCAACAGAAACCCCTATTCTCACCTGCAGGTTGCTGGCGTACTTAGTAGGGTGGATGGGGGGATGGGCCTGATCTGATTTGTTCCCGTTCCTAGGAGTTGGTCCACCCCTCTCCAAGATTCGTTGTGCAAAGCCACCCCACTGAGGGTCCTGTGTCTGCTGCTCAACCAATGGCGTGAGGTTTAAGTCCTTTGGGAAAATGTTGGTTTCTGTTCGGGGGTAACTGATATAACTAGAAAAAACAAGTAATAAACAAGCTTGTTAAACTGTTCATGACCAGATGTCACTATGGAGCTCTAAAAACTCTGCAAAACCCTACTCCACTAAAGCTACTGTTTTCCTGCCAGAGAGTACGCTACAGAACCTGCAAAACATATTCTGAGCTGCATTTCAGTCTTGGATTCATTACTTTTAACCAAGATCCCACTGTACCTAGACCCCTTCACAGAAGGCCTCATTCCACCTGCAATAGATCTAGCAGCTGCGGTTTGAAGAGGTTCCATATGCTACATGGAAAACACTGGTATACAACATATATTACAACTTATCCATTGTTTAACCCCTTCATGCCTAAGGGTAAAACAAATCTAAATGCCTAAGCACAATTTTGCAACACTGGCATGTGTTAGTAAAACCATACAGAGCATCACAACTACTCTGTATATCCAGGTAATTATAACTTGTTTTTTTCAGGACAAATTGGGCTTTCATTTGTTGGTAAATGGTAATGGATATCTCAATTTTTTTTTATTATCAAAGGAAAATAGTCCCAAAATATTAAAAAAAAAAATAATTTTTTTTAAGTTTAGCTGTGTGTTTCTTGTTACGACCATAACCTACCACCAAAGAACAACCCAAAATAAATTTTCCAGCTCTTGACGATCGCAGTGATACCATATATGTGTATGTTATTTGTCGTTTGTACAAGTAGTACAGCCAGAAACAATAGTGAGTATTCTGTTTTTTGTTTACCTAAAACACACTGACACAGACACTAACTGACACTAATACCAATTAAAAAAAAGGAAAAAAAAAAATCCTGACCTTTGACCTTGACCCAAACAAAACACTCATGCTGGCACTGAGAACTAGATCAAACTTTGAGCTAGGTATTTTTTCTCTCTTTTTTTTCCCTCTATGCCAGGAGTTAGAGAGATACATTGTATCTCTCTCCTCCATTCATAGAGAGAGAAAAAAAAACAAGGAGGCCGGCTGTACAGTGACTGATCACTGTGACAGCCAATCAGAGGCTATCACTGCAATCATGTGACCCAGAATTTGGGAGTCGCGGGTCCTGATCGTTAGAACAGGACCCCGGGCTCTCAGTGACACCCCGGTCTTTGTGCTGGGAGCGCACTCCCAGCACAAAGACAGGTACACAAATATGCGGCCCCACAGAAAAAAGCCCAGTTCTGTGGGGCCGCATATTTGTGTGTGTTGGCGTCAAGGGGTTAAGAAGGCAGCCTGTTAATAATGCAAAAACAAGAAACAGGGCGCACCAGCCTAGTGCATTACCATCGTGATGACTTTATTAACATTAAAAGTGCAAAAACAACATCAGTAATAGGACACATCAAACTCCAATGAATGAAACCGTCCGGTCTCCTAGACCATTCCCAGTGCAAAAAGGGCCTTCCAAAAGACTGACGCGTTTCGAGGGGTGATCCCCTCTGCCTCAGAGCCAGGTCAGGTCTGGCTTCTGGAAGGTCTTCTCACACTTGGGATTCGTCTAGGAGATCAGACAGTTTCATGTTCATTGTGGAGCTTGATGTGTCTTATGACTGATGTTGTTTGTGAGTATACACCCGCTCTTTTAATATTAATTAAAGTCATCAGGAATGTAATGCACTAGGCTGGTGCACCCTCTGTTTCTTGTTTTTGCAGTATTCATTGTGGGTTTCCCCGGCCTGCTAGGGGGCAAAAAAGCTGGTGCCAATATTGGATCAGTTGAAGATTTTTCTCTCGAGGGCAGGGGATTGGTTATTCTGTTGTTAGCCTGTTATTAATGTTTGAGAAGTTGAGATTACCCCTGGTGTAAAGCTTCTCAGCAATTTTCATTGTCTCCTTTGCTCCAATTTTCAGTTTTCTAGAAGCCAGTTTTTCCATCTCCTACGCAGAAACAAGAACATAAAGTGCTTAAATAAAATTATATGGAAAGGGAACTTGTCATTAGCCAGACACAAGTAGTCTCAGAGACTGAAAGCACAGCAGGTAGAAGCCATTTTGCACATTACATTTATCAAAAAATGAGTTGTAGCTGACAGAACAGAGGTCAGTGTTATTTGGATGAAGAAGACAAATTGTACCAAGCAAACGGAAGCATCTGGAACTACTGCAGGCTTGTGCTTTCTGATGAGGAGGAGGAAGAAGATTTTAACTGGACCACAGCACAACTATATCAACAAGAAAATTGTTAAAACAAAGCTAATACAGAGAGAGGAGGACAGTTGAAAACTTGCCACCATTTAAAGGAGAATACAAACTCAGGTTTAGTTAAAGTAGATGGAAAAGCAGAGGACATAAAAAATGTAATCACAACACTTAAATAACTGATTAAAAGGAATCTGGAGGAAGAGAGAGAGGAACCAAGCTTCCTGAGAGTATATGGGCGCACCACATTAACTAGGACCTGTTTCAGATCCATCTGCAGGGAATTCTATTTCATAGTAAAAAAGGAAAGGAGGAGCACAGGTCTGCGCCTGATTAACAGGAGGGATATGACAGTTTTTTCTATATAGAAAAGCATGCCACAGATTCTCACCTGGACCACCTTGTCGTACAGGATGTCAACAAGAGACACCTTACAAAAAGTCCCTCTCTCTGCTTGTGCAGTGAGTACACAGCACATGCAGAGACTGCTGAATTAACAACCCTTTTCCTCCCTCCACTTTGAGCTAGAATGGGGCGTGGAGATGGGCAGAAAGGTCAAAGCATGCAGCTCCAGCTCTCCTTTCTATGTGCTGTGTCTGTCACAGCCACAGAAAAGATCACTCCTAATTAACAAAGGGGCTTGCACTTTGCTAATTAGGAGCATCTGCTCCATGTTCCAAGTTTAAAAGAGTGGTGCAAGTGTGTGCTCTTTGTTAATTCCCCCCGTTGTTTTAGTTGAGAAGAAGGAGGAGGAAGAGGAAGAGGAGGAGGAGGAGGAGGAGGAGGAGGGAGGAGGAGGAGGAGGAGGAGGAAGGAGGAGGAGGAGGAAGAAGGAGGAGGAGGAGGAGGAGGAGGAGGAGGAAGGAGGAGGAGGAGAAGAAGAAGGAGGAGGAGGAGGAGGAGGAGGAGGAGGAGGAGGAGGAGGAGGAAGGAGGAGGAAGGAGGAAGAAGAGGAGGGAAGAGGAGGAAGAAGGGAGGAGAAAAGTGGAGGAGGAGGAGAAAGAGGAGGAGGAGGAAGGAAGAAGAAAAAAGGAAGAAAGAAACAAGGAAAAGGAAGGATGAAGGAAGGAAGGATGGATGAAGGAAGAAAGAAGAAAGAAAGAAGAAGAAGAGAAGAAGAAAAAAGAAAAAAAGAAGAAGAAAGAAGGGGAATAAGGAAGAAAAAAGAAGAATTTGTTTATGTGTGGTCACAGAGCCACAAACCCTACAGGTAACAATCAGTAAGTCCAATGTAATGTCCAGGGGCGGACTGACAAAACATGGAGCCCCCGGGCATTAGGGGATCATGGGGCCCCTGTGTCCTTGCCCAAAATCAAAAAAGCCTATGAAAAAGGTACCAGGGGCATCTCATGGGGCCCCCCCGGACCCTCGGGCAGTGGCCGAGTTTCCAAATGGTCAGTTCGCCCCTGGTAATGTCCAGACGTACTCCAAGGTCTCATTACAACTCCCAGGAATCGTCACGATACACAAAGGAGCAGCAGGGGCTGTTCTAAAATTGTACACCGGTATGCATGTGCATCAGGAGAAAGCATCTGACTACCATAGACTTCATGAATGAATGAAAATCAGCTGAAGGACCCAACAATGCCGAGGTGCCAACACAATTGCACTGAAGTAAAAGAGTGTTGTTGGCAGAACAACAGAATTCGCTACTTACACAGGGAACTGGCAGGATCAAAAGGTAATTACTAGGGAAGGGCAAAGTTAATATGAAAGTTTGTAAAATTTTTAGAAAGCACAGACCAATTTTTATTTCCTGGTTGGAGATATACTTTAGGAGCAGAAAATATCTATTGTTCATGAATGTACTGCTTTATGCAATGCCTTTTCCAAATGTATATCAGGATAATTAGCTTATATCTTACATACCACAGTGTCCAGGGCAACCGGCCTCCATTTGCTCTTTGGTTTGCTTCCCACTTGAACAACCGTGGCTGTGGGATCCTAAAAAAAAAAACATTTCGAGGATTTATGTCTAATGTCTATGATCTCACTAAACTGTGGTCTGCAAAGATCCCCCATACCGCCACCACACACATGACACTACTTGGACCAAGAGGATGCATTCATATCCTGTAAAATGTGTCACTGTCAACAGTACTGGGCAGAAAACTGCCTGGATTTCGTACCTCCATGCAGATCTGGTATAGAACAAGGCATGCCGTGTGGTTGAACAAACGGTTCCTCTTCCAGCTGAATTCTACGTTCCCATCTTCATGTTCATGAGTAACTGAGCAATACAATTAGCATAGAATGAGCAAAAACGTGAGGGCGTGAAAAATGCTATTGTATGCCAGACAGACAAGCACCATCCCTGCACACACAAAAGAACGCAGCAGATTTGGGGTATATGAACATAGGTGACTGTTAATTTCATTTGTAATCCTTTTGCCTCTACAGGTAGGAAGACATTTTCAGCAGAAAGCAGTTCTTTAATATGCCTGCTTCTTCACATCAGTGTTGCACTACACTGTCATACCTTTGCGGTTTCTTTCCTGTTTTTAAAAACACAACATGTTGCAGTTTTGCTCCTGCTGGTTTCCCTACAGGGGTAGACTCCCTGGCATCTCTTGGGGATTTTATTGATAAGATCTCTATGCTGACCTCTCAGGTCTTCACATGCTGACCTCTCAGGTCTTCACATCTGCTGTGCCCCTTATGAGGGTTGCCCACCATCACTGCTGGAAGCTTTATGTATTTGTATAATGGAATATGTAACAGGAGGAGCTGGAACACACAACAGTGGTTGGGGACAATGAAAACTTCAAGGTGGACAACGACAAAGGCAGGAATTATGGCAGGGAGAACTCACTGCTGGAGTATCCAAATCAGGGACTGACTTCATCTATAACTAAAATGCCACATTTGGATGAACTGAACCTTTGTCTATAGCCAAGAAATTGTATTAGACAGAGTGGGGAAGTATTAGAACTCCCATTAGGTTTTATTGCCAACAAAGGCTCCAATAGAGAGCCTTCACGTTCTATGAGATAAAAAATATTGTCCCCAGAACAAATGCAGTAAAATCTTTTTACTGGAGTCACGGATAGCAGCAAAACCTGACAAGGGTCCTGACCTTTTCCCATTCTATCCAAAACTTATTAAAAAAAACCCTATAATTTCACTATTAGAGGTGTGGGGTGGGGGGGCCTCTGTGGTGGCTGTACCTTCCCTTACAGGAACATGCATAATTTGGGCTTTAAAAGATAAGTTCGCCTTTGGGAACCTGTTTTTTTGGATGGAACATATAACATTTCCCCACTGCCAGAGCCGCTGCCCATTCTGCTGCATCTAGTGACAGCTAGCGGGGGATCATCTCGTCCTACTAGCTGTCATTATTTAAAAAAAAAAAAAAACAAAAAAAAAAAGTCCGGGGCTTTGCCCACCTGACCACTTCCTTCATTCACAAAATTATGTGAATAGAAAACTACAAGTATCCACAGCTTTTATGGCTGTTGACTTTTAGTTCTCAATTAACTACTTAGATTGTAAGTAGGGCCCTCCTAACCCTCTTGTATTGAACTGTATTGTTGCTGTATTGTCTCCCTTTATATTGTAAAGTGCTGAGCAAACTGTTGGCGCTCTATAAATCCTGTATAATAATAATAAGAATATATAAATCCTGTATAATAATAATAATAATAATAATAATAATACAGAGCTGTTAAGCACTATAGAAAATTAATTTTCTCTTCTCCTGTTAGTGTGTATCTGCTCGGCCGTGCAAGGTTCGAGCACACAGACAAGTCTGCAGGAATCCTGTAAGCCACCTCCAAACTGCAATGCCCTCTAGGATCCAAGTAAAAAAATTATAAATACACATTTTTTTTAACCTGCAAAATGGTGGGCATTTATTTATTTTAAAGGTGAACATATCTTTTAAAAGGTGGTGATGCTACAGCTAACATATAGAGGTACATTTTGGAAACAAATGGGCCACCACTCAGATCAGGACCAAGCACTATATGCATTTCGTCCCCGGGGGGAATTACATTAATAAAAATGAGGGTTTTTCTTTTAACAGCGTCCCGTCCGCCCCATGTATATAAACGGCTGGAAGGGAGCAGTGCAGGGGCGGATGGCCGTTTATAAACGTCCTCCCCGCTCCCTCCAGACACAGCGGAACACCGATCGTTGTACAGGACCTCTGTGTGAGGTCCCGATCATGTGATCACTGATTGGCCAATCAGTGATCACACGAAGAGTAGTAAGCAAGATGTCACTTCTGACATCATTGCTTACTACGTGTGAAATCTACGAATGATCACAGAGATCACATGGTACAAGGTTATTCACAACAGCCTTGTACCATGTGACAAGCTGTGACCAATCACAGCTCACACAGTATCTCTCAATGGCTGCAGGAATGCAGCCAGAGAGAAGGAGAAATATGGACATAATCATACTGCTAGGGAGGTTAACAGACATAAGCCTGTGAAGTACAGAAATACCTCTGATCTTGTAGAAGGTCTCAGGAATAAAGGCCTGGATTGCCTTGAACCTCTCCACCACAAACCCCAAGGTGGGGAACTGACAGCTTCCATAGCTGATGAGCTGGTCAGACAACACAGAGGGGAAAATCTTCTGCAGGCGGAGAGTCTGGAACCTGGTGAAAGCAGCACCTGTATGAGACATAGCAATTCAATTATACAGCTGTTGACCAGATGTTCTGCAACAGAGAGCGGGAGACAGAAAGAGAGAAATAGAGCGAGAGAGACAGAAAGGGAAAGAGAGACAAAGAAACATCTTTTTTTTTTTTTTTTTTTTAGAACATATAACAAGGCCAAAGCCTCAAAAAGGAATCAATTTCTTGCATCATCAACAAAACTTTGATTTTCTTGATTTTGGTGTTCACTTGCCCTCCACAGGATGTACCCCCTTCCTGAACAGGCTATTTTTTGCTATATGGCGCTGCGTTAATTTAACTGACAATTGCGCAGTCATGCAACACTGTAAATAAATCAAATTGATGTCCTTTTTTTTCCCACAAATAGAGCTTTCTTTCAGTGATATTTGATCACCTCTGCGGTTTTAATTTTTTTGCACTATAAACAAAAAAAGACCGACAAGTATGAAAAAAACCCCCACACTATTTGACTTTTCGCTATAAATCATATCCAATAAAAAATTTTAAAAATCAAATTTCATCATAAATTTAGGCCAAAATGTATTGTGCTACATGTCTTTGCTAAAAAAAAAAATCCAAATACATAAAGTAATTGGTATATGTGAAAGTTATATCGTCTACAAATGGAGTATATATACTGGAATTTTTTTTTTTTTATACTAGTAATAGCGGCGATCAGCGACTTATAGTGGGACTGCGGCAGGCATTCTGACACTGGTTGGGAACTAACTGCCACTGACATCCCAAGTGACACTAAGACAGCGATCAGTGCTAATAAAAAACACTGACATTGTACTAATGACACTGGGCAGAAAGGTGTTAACATCTGGGGTGGTCAAAGAGTTACCTGTGTGCTCTGTGTGTTTTACATTATGTGCTGTGTGTATTTTACTTCGGAGACATGCTGCTTTGTATTTCTGTACTGTGCAGAGAAATACAAAGCAGCATGTCTTTGCCGACAGGAGAGAGAGACCTGTGTTGTTTACACCCAGGTCTCTCCCCTGTCAGCTTTCCCTGACGATCACCGAATGCCGGCCGGGACTCGCCGGCCAGGACTTGGTGATTGATAATAAATAAAATAAAGTGCAGCGCTAATATGCAGTCATAAAAATAGATAGTGAACATAAATAGTGGCTAATAAATGGTAAATAATAGTTCATCCAATAAAGGAATAAAGTTCAAAAAGCACAGATTGATGATCTTCCCAACAGCAGATTTCTAGACAGACTTGTGACTGGAACACATGGTAAAATTGCGCACTCACCGAAAGTGCATAGGTAATGAGCATATATATGTGTAACCACCAGGGATCTCTTAGATAGGCGGATAGTATCAGATGTGTGGTGAGCTTCCTTCTTTGGTATGGTCGTCAAGCCTGGGGCAGTATGGAAATCTGCTAGGTCCAGAGGTCCCCTTAAGGATGGATGGGTGCTCAGCCTAGGTACAGGGCTCCCTCCTCTGGATGCCGGATCAATGGGGATTATCATGCATCATCAGGTGAAGTGATATCCTGCTGGTGCTAGTATATTGTAGACCAGCCGTGAAGTCAACAGGAGCAGCCAAAAAATTTAGAGCGCTCACTTATCACTATTCTTACTAGGACTTGGTGATTGACATCCCTAGCCACCAACAGCGATGCAGGTAGGGCAGCGCGCCCCTTACCCAGAAATGCAAATCACGTATATATGTATATGTGATTTTGCTCAGCCCTGCTGCCCTGCATTAGTACTTCTACTGTAGGGTGGTGGGCAAGCGGTTAAAATGAGGGTAAATCTTTGCTTAGACAGCTGTCAATGGAGCAAGTGTCCCCAATGGAAGACTTCTCAATTTTTGTTCAGGTGACAACCATAAAAGTTTGGATTTGCAATCACTTCATCAGCTACAATGGCCACTGAGACAAAAAGGCAGGATTTATTTCCTCAGTGGGGATAGCACAGGATACCACTGAGTACTATGACAGTATCACGTGGGTGTAGCAATGTTGAAAAATAAAACTTCAGTGTATAACTGTGTAAATTATTTTATTGTAAGAAAGACAAATTAAAAAAAAAAAAACATGCCAGCAATTCTTTCTTTTTTCCCTTTTAAAATTTTCATAACACAATTACAAAGCATACCAACATTTCAGGGCTCATTTATCAAAGTGTAGTTATTTGTTGCCTTTTTTGGAAGAAAAATGTAATTAATTTGTATCCAGGATATAAGCAGCAAAACATCAGGGTTTCAAAGACCCCCTACCTATCCGAAGGTCCAGCTCCATCCTCACATCTACGGCATCGCTGGTGTTCTGGTCCGGACGAGTAAAGTTCTGACAAGCTGTGCAGATGGAACGAGTCGTGATCTCAGAGAAGCGGGCACGGAACACCTGCAAATTTGATTTTACTGAAACAGAAAGAAAAAACATATTTGTCTACAAGCGTCTTAATTCAGAATGAAGGAGTCTTGTTACTATAATTATCCACATAGGAAATACCACCACAGGGCCTATTTATGAAGTACAGCAGAGATCTGCTCTCTGCTAAACACTCCCTTTACTTCTGTACACCACGGTCTGCCTTTCACAGCATATTCATAAAGTGCAGACTGTGGATGTGAAGTGCTGGGTCACACTTTCTTCTCAGTCCAGCCCTGGAGATCCTCTTCAAGGCAGAATTATAAAATACACTATATTGCCAAAAGTATTGGGCCAGCCCTCCACATCATTGGATTCAGGTGTTCCAATCACCTCCATGGCCACAGGTGTATAAAATCAAGTACCTAGGCATGTCCATCTGTGACATTTCCTGGCTACTAAATATTCCTCGCTCAACTGTTAGTAGGATTATAACAAAGTGGAAGCAACTGGGAACAACAGCAACTCAGCCACCAAGTGGTAGGCCCACGTCACATGACAGAGCGGGGTCAGCGCATGCTGAAGCGCACAGTGCGCAGAAGTCACCAACTGCCTGCAGAGTCAATAGCTAAAGACCTCCAAACTTCATGTGGCCTTCAGATTAGCACAACAACAGTGTGTAGAGAGCTTCATGGAATGGGTTTCCATGGCCGAGCAGCTGCATCCAAGCCTTACATCACCAAGTGCAATGCAAAGCATTGGATGTCGTGGTGTAAAGCACTGGACTCTAGAGCAGTGGAGACGTGTTCTCTGGAGTGACCAATCACGCTTCTCTGTCTGGCAATCCGATGGACGTTGTCTGGGTTTGGAGGTTTCAAGGAGAACTGTACTTGACTGACTGCATTGTGCCAAGTGTAACGTTTGGTGGAGGGGGGGGGGGGATTATGGTGTGGGATTGTTTTTCAGGGGTTGGGCTTGGCCCCTAGTTCCAGTGAAGGGATCTCTTAAGGCGTCGCATACCAAGACATTTTGGACAATTTCCAACTTTGTGGGAAGAGTTTGGGGATGGCCCCTTCCTGTTCCAACATGACTGCACACCAGTGCACAAAGCAAGGACCATAAAGACATGGAGGAGTGAGTATGGGGTGGAGGAACTTGACTGGCCTGCACAGAGTCCTGACCTCAACCCCATAGAACACCTTTGGGATGAATTAGAGCGGAGACTGTGAGCCAGGCCTCCTCCCCCGACATCAGTGCCTGACCTGACAAATGTGCTTCTGGAAGAATGGTCCAACCTTCCCATAGACACCCTCCTAAACCTTGTGGACGGCCTTCCCAGAAGAGTTGAAGCTGTTATAGCTGCAAAGGGCAGGGCCAACTCAATATTGAACCCTACGGACTAAGACTGGGGGGCCATTAAAGTTCATGTGCGTGTAAAGGCAGACGGCCCAATACTTTTGACAATATAGTGTATGTAACCAGGGAGGGAGGAGGTCTTCAGGAACTGAGAAATCCTGGAGTTCCGATTTCAAATGGAAGCTACAATGTATTTTTAGCAAGCACATTTAGAAGCTAAATTTATACATGCTAGCTGTTCCAAAATTTTGTTTCTGCATTGCAGACTAGTACATTTTCTCTCTCATACCTACCTATACTATGTTGCAACCACTCAAGTCTCCTATATTGAAGTGGTCATAAAAAAAAAAAAAGTATTCTCTACATTCAATGTCAGCTCCCCCCAGCCCCCCTCAAATACTTACCTTACCCTGATCTCAATCCAGCACTGTGCCCGTCTTCAGCAGCATTGCTCTTCTCTCGCCTCCTCTCTCACAGGAGGCTCAGCAGCAGCGGGAGCCATTGGCTCCTGCTGCTATCAATCAAATCCTGTGAGAGAGAGTGGGGGGGCGGGACCTTGCCTCTCAGCTGGGGAGCGAGCCTGCTGGTGTGCCCCGTAGAGGAAGTCCGGGGCAACAATGTGCAAAACCATTACACTAAACAAGTAAAGTCCCATGTACATGGGACACTTCTGAACGATGAAAACTGACTGCTGGAAAACATAGGTTAAAAAAAAAGTCTGTTTAGCCACGTTTGCATAACGCGTTTATGTGCGTTTGCGTTTAGAAGCGTTTTTTTCAGATAAGCACAGAAGAAACCTCCCAAATGCCCAGAATGCACTGAAAAGTGGTAAATTATTAACTATTTCAGACTGTTTCGGAGAAATACAGAGAGTGGAAGCAGAGGCGGCAGTATGTGTTGAGATTAGCTTAGGTGTGAGTTGCTCATCAACATTTCTTTTGTTTCCAAGGGTGGGAAAGGTGTCTGGTGGAGGGAGTCATTAAGGTCACCTGGCAGGGGGTCTTCATGAGGAATTTAAGGTGTGAATGGTCATTAACAAATTTTTTGTTTCCAAGGGTGGGAGAGGTCTGAGGTGTGAATGGTCATTACAATGTGTGACATGCTTGGTAGGAACATCCTGTGCTCAGTGTTTTGTCCAACTGAGTACCTTGAAAACACTTTGCATGCATTTTTCATGATGACAAAAAGGCTCTGGACAGCATCGGGAACTGGAAGAGTTAAAAAAAAAAAAATTGCAAACGCTTATAAATGCGATTTGCCACGTTTACAAGCGTTTTGCGTTTGAAACGCTGATAAAATCGACTGCTGAACGCAAGTTTTCTGCGTTCAAAAAAATGACTGTAAACTCAAATGCCTGTAAATGACGATGTGTACATTGGACACATTAGGAAAACATTAGGGAGAGTTCAGGGGCTGCTGAAAAAACGATGAACAGCTCCTAAACGTGAGTTTATCAGCTGCAGTGTACATGAGCCCTTAGTGTAACATGTTTATTATTTAAAAAAAAAAAGAAGTACCTTTACAAATGCTTTAATTACTGCTGATAAAAAAAAATCACCCACAGAAAGTGCAGTTTTCAATACGGTGAAGCCAAAAAATAAGATGTGCATACATAGTCTGATAATGACAGCAATGTGTAGAATTTCCAGGATGGTTTATATTAATCATTTTTGTCTGATCTCCTTGAAAGAACCTCTGATTACACTGTTCCACAGGTAAAAAGTTTTGGGCATAAAATGGCTAATCTTACATAATTGTGGGGTGCTGAAAACAAAAATGACCCTAAAAAATGTTGATTGGCTCTAGTTTCCATGATATATTCAACCATCTAATGACGTAAGCCATTCAAAATTATGATGCAACTTCAGCTGCATATTGCGCAAATGATACTAATGACCATAGAAAATTGCATGTATACTGAGATGATGCAATATTAGCCTTTAATTGCATCACTTCACTGCATAAAAGCTGCAGTATCTGTAGCTGATTGTAGTTCGACAGCGTCTTTACATTTCGTTTTATGCTTATATAGGCTACTCAGTAATGCCTCGAACTTGTGTGAATAAAGCAGATAATTTCTGCTATATCTGCGGTGAAATAACTTTTATCTCACAAAAAAGGAGGATAACAGGAATGATTAAGAAAGCCTACAACTTGTATTTTGGCTGCAAGATAGGAGACCAGGACAAGAGCTGGGCACCACATATATGCTGCAATTCTTGTGGGACGGCACTGGAGCAATGGTTGAATGGAAAAAAGGCATCTATGCCTTTCGCTGTGCCAATGATTTGGAGAGAGCCAACAGATCATGTTAGTAATTGTTACTTTTGTATGGTGCCTCCAATTGTAAAAGGGCTAAATAAGAAGAAAAAGTTATCTGTGCACTATCCAAATATTCCATCGGCAATACGTCCAGTTCCTCATGGAGAGGGGCTACCAATTCCTAAAGCACCAGAATCCTTCGTGGTTGAGTCAAGTGAGGAAGAACCTGAAGCGTGTAGTCACGTGCAGTTGTAAGAGATAGCCCTTTCCTCGAATACAAGAGAAAAGCCAAGAGAAGCAAAACCGACACAAACTGAAGACAAAACTAGTGAGAATCCTAAGTATTAAAATGATTCAACTTAGCTTATGGCTATAATTTTTTTGGTAATCCTATGCAATATATTATGCCATTTAGGATTTGTTATGTAGTCAATATCACTTGCTTTATATTTGTGGAAAGACATCTATCTATATAATTTTGTGCATTATGTAGTCATTACGCCTATAGTAGAAAACTTTCCGTTTACAGAAAAACTAGAGCCAATTGACAAATTTCATTGTTATATTTGAACTCAGAATGTGAAATTCATTAAGAATGGATCCTTTTGTTTCCAAAACTGGCAAAAAATAAAAATTTGTTGAACAGTGTTATTAGAGGTGCTTGTTATTGCACATGGAGACTTGTTACAAATCTCCCAAAGAGTCTCCGAATGGAAGGGAAAGTGACATGAAAAAGAACCATGTCAGAGAAGATGTCTCCTGAGAGGCCTCTTTAGAGTGAGCTATGGGTGAGGAGCCATCCAGCTGCCGAAAATATAACATACTCATGGGAAAACATACATTCAGGAATCTGTGTTGTCTTTTCTGAAGCAATAATGTTCAAGTTTAAATCCTATACAAATGACAGGTTTGCCATGAGTAAGTGCCAGGATGCTGATAGTTTGATAGCTCTGGGCATGACATATGCTCTCTTTAGGTTACAATACAGAAACTACAAAAAAAAATGGCAACCGTCCCAACCTATAACCAGCCTTCGCAGCAAGGTGCACATGGAAGGGCAATGCACATCATTACAATACAGAAACGGCATACAGATGCAATACCTGCTTTGCAGACATCGATAATTTCAAAACCGATGTTCTCTCCTTCCCGATCGCAATCTGTCCATATGACGAGAACTTGACACGCCCGCACCTCTCGTTCCAGTGTTCTCTGGAATCACCAAAATGACAGCTCTAATGGCTTTGATACAATTATCAAGTGTTTCCTTTGTTGCCGTAAGTTACTATTACTTCTCTTACAGCTCTACATAGAAACAATTGAGTACTGTCTGTAATACTTTTTTTTATTTGCACTAACATACAATTTTGAGGACAATTTCGGGGTATGTCCCCTTCTTCAAGGTCCAGGCAGTACTACTTCACAAAGTTTTAGCAGAATGTTAAAAGAAATGTAAAAAACAAAAAAAAAAAAAAAAAACACAAAATGTACACAGCAATGGTTATAAAACAAGGATTAGACTAGAGATAAGACAGAGCAAAATCCAAGAAGGGGGGGGGGGGGTGTGAACAACACTCACAGAGGGGGTCGTAAAACTGTTGGATAATGATTGAGGAATCCCATGTCCAAATTAAGGCCATTATCTCTTGTATCAAATAGAAATATCATTCTTAGTTCAAAAGTTTTCCTTTCCTGAATAGTATGTTCTCCACAGGAAATGCTGTAACCAAAAATTATTGGGGCCTCAAGTCTACATCAAATTCCATACAGGCAAGGAGATGGGTCTCAATTACAAAAGTACTTTTCCTGAACTGCACAGGTTAACATTCTCATCTGTCACAGGTATTCGGTTTAAAGCCAAACTAAAATCTCACTCCTGTACTGTCATATGTAAGGATTTGTAACTGATTTTTCAATTAGAAGTCCCCAAAATAAATTTTTCTGTGCAAATGTAATTCCTGCTCCCCCCTCCAGTGCCAGTATAAATGGTTAGTGGCCACATCCCCATCACAAGTGTTCATACACAAAAGTTGTAAATTGGAATAACTGGTCAATACGGTCAAACTCTGGAGTCTATTAGACTGCACAGCAATCTGTAGACACCCTACAAAACTGCTGAACAGGAAAATAGGGGTAAGTTGGTGCAATGTCTAGTATCTTTGCAAATATTGATTTCTGTGAATTCAGCTAGGCATAACCACTTCAGTACCGGGCACTTTCACCCCCTTCCTGTCCAGGCCAATTGTCAGCTTTCAGCGCTGTTTCAGTTCGAATGACAACTGCACGTCATGCAACACTGTACCCATATGAAATTTGTAGCATTTGTTTGAGACAGATAGAGCTTTATTTTGGTGGTATTTAATCACCACTGGGTTTTTATTTTTTTTTTGCTAAACAAACGAAAAAAAGACCATACATTTTGAAAAAAAAAAGTGTTTTTTTCTTAGTTTCTGTTATCACATTTTGCAAATAAATACTTTTTCCTGATGTGCGCTGATGAGGCTGCACTGATGGGTATGGATAGTCACTGATAAGCTGCACTGATAAAGAGGCACTGATTGGCATTAGCCCTGATTATCAGTGTAAACCATGTACTGACAGTTCTGCCGGTAATCGGTTTTCCTTTATTCACACAGACACAGCGTGAGAAAAGGACTGCCGATAACCAGCAAGTCTGTTTACATGTGATCAGCTGTGATTGGACACAGCTGGTCACATGGTAAAGGGCAGCTGTGATTAGCCCTTTACTTCAATCTGTGATCAGCTGTGTCCACAGAACACAGCGATCACTGAGTGCACCCGATGCATGCGCCGGGGGGGCACGCAGGGGCGGGTTTCTGGGAGGGTGTTTATAGACACCCTCCCAGAACTAGATGACTCTGCTGTAGCCATCTTTCGGCTATAGCGTGGTCAGCAAGTGGTTAAACTGGATGAAATTAATAAAGGAAATCCATAACCTACTTAAGCGGTTTAATAAATGTGTCTGGAAAGCGCTTCAAACCATCCTGTTTACCTTGATGTTAATCATATCATCTGGGCAAAACTTCTCAACTTCAGCATCAAAAAGAGACACTGGGTTACAGCTGTGCCTGGAAAACAAATGAGAAGAAGCAATGTAGAAAACTGGGAAACTATTGAGGTTTTTGAGGAAATGCACATTTTAAGGCATGAAATGTATTCACACTCCCTCTAATGGACACCTATCATGAGAGTTATTACCCCCTGCTTACTGTAAACCTGTGCAGGTTTACTTAAAGTAGAATTCCAGGCAAAACTTTAACTACTCCTAATAAAAAGCTCCATCCCCTCTTCTAACACCTATTCTGACTAACTGCCCCTAGGCACCAGTTGGGCCATACAAAGCCTATGAGTGATGTCACAATCCCAGACATTACTGGCCATTGTCAAGTATTCTCCCCTGTAGCCGCTGCTGGCTGACACAGTGTCGATCAACTGACCAGACCAGGGCGGCCTGAAAAATAGGAAAGTATAGAGATCTTTGTTACTCAGGATAATCATAATAACTATTAGAAGGGGCAAGTGAGCAATTTAAGAGTAGATTGGTTTTGCCTGGAATTGCACTCTAAAGAGACACTGGCCCTTTGCCCATTCAGGGCAAAGTGAAAGAGTCCCCTGATAGCCCAATGGTTGGGTATTCAGAGTATGGGGGAATATGTGACCTCTCAGGCCTGAGCAAACAAACCGCCATCCACCCAGGTAAGCTCCAACATAATCGAACACCAAAGCATACCCAGCGTAGACTGCAAGTATGAATTCCTTGAACAATGTGAAATACTCAACACATGCAAGTATGCAGGGAGCAAATTATTATTATTATACAGTATTTATAAAGCGCCAATAGTTCGCTCAGCGCTGTACATTACAAAGGGGGACAAAACATGTGACAGAACAATACCAATACAATGCAAAACATGAGGGGATTGAGGGCCCTGCTCTTTCGAGCTTACAATCTAGGAGGGAGGGGATTGTGGTACAGGAGGAGATAGCTGTGGGGGATGGAGTGGTAGGAAGAGTGGAGGAGGTTGGCAACTAGCAGGGGGTGGGGTAGGCTTCCCTGAAGAAATGGGTTTTCAGGGTGCGCCTAAACGCCTAAGGAGAGGAGAGTAGGTGATAATCTGATGGGTTAGGGCAGGGAGTTCCAGAGGATGGGTGACACCCTGGAGAAGTCCTGGAGGCGGGCATGGGAGGAGGAGACCAGGGAACTAGAGAGGAGGTCTTGTGAGGAGTGGAGAGTGCGTGCTGGGTGGTACTTGGATATTAGGTCAGTGATGTAGTTCGGGGCAGTATGGTGGACGCTTTGTACGTCAGTGTTAGGATTTTGAATTTGATCCGTTGCGCAATCGGAAGCCAGTGGAGGGATTGGCAGAGGGGGGTGGCGGAGATGGAGCGGTTGGAAAAGTGAATGAGTCTGGCTGCCGTATTCAGGATCGACTGAAGCGGGGATAGCCAGCGGCGAGGCAGGCCAGTGAGGATCAGCTTGGAGCTTACACAAGTCGTCTTCTCTGTACTGCCGTGGGCAAACACAGGAAGCATATGTATTGGGGGTATTAAAACTCTGATCAGCCATTTTGTCTGCCTACTGTATGCGGATTTTGTGATAATCTTTGGCCTTTGTTTACTACTTCATTGGTCTCGAATTGTCTGCCATTTCTGCAAATTATTATGTTTTATTCTATGTCTTCATGTACTGTGCTACTGTACTCAGTTTATTTCTTCGTCTATACTTCAGTGCATTTTTTGCATGTCAGTGATCTTGTTTATGATTGTTTCTCTGATGCTGTCTAATCCAGCCTTTCCCAGCCAGGGTGCCCAGGCACCCTGGGGTGCCTTGAGGTTTCTTCAGGGGTGCTTTGGTAAAATGGCTAAAAATTGCATAAAACTTGTATACAAGCCAGCGGGTGGAACAAGCCTGCCTTTTAGTTACACAAAGCCAAAAGTTTTCATTGTGCACCGTTACGACCTTCTAGCCGCGGGCAACCTGACAACCAATGACATCATCAGTTGATAAGGAGGATGTCAGTTGCCTGCACACCATCCCAGTTTGACCCTCCCCCGCCCCTCTCTGTCAGTGCTGCAGTCACATTAGCTCAGTGATGGAGAAAAACTGAGGGAAAAGAGAAACATGGGATTACTAGTCAGTACCAGTGTGCAAAAGTCTATTTGCTTTGGAAGAATAAATCACCTCTAAAGTTGGGTGTCCTACATGTGTGGATGTTGCTATGTTATAGAAAACTATTAGAACAGTTTTTCAAATTTTAGAATGGGGGGTCCTTTTCATATTATGGACAGTTTTGAGGCACTCCATTTTAGACTGCATTTTTTGTATGTCAGTGATCATGTTTATGATTGTTTCTCTGATGCTGTCTAATCCAGCCTTTCTCAACCAGGGTGGCCAGACACCCTGGGGTGCCTTGAGGTTTCTTCAGGGGTGCCTTTTTAGAATGGGGTGCCTCAAGACTGTCCATTATTTTTAAGGGTGCCTCAGGACTGTCCATTATTTTTAAGGGTGCCTCAGGACTGTCCATTATTTTTAAGGGTGCCCTGACTGAAAAAAGGTTGAAAAACATTGGTCTAATCTATAATAAAATCCATTGCAAAAAAAAAAAAAACTCCAATCAGATTTTTATTGTCCGTTTCTTCTGAGCCCATTGTGACTGATAGGAAATCAAACATTTTATAGTTGGCACCAGAACAGGAGATGAGTGGAAAACCTTCCAATGGAATTCCAACCTGTTGTAGTAATGCAATTCCCAGCTTCGGCAGATTCCCTTTAATTTCCTACGGCATTCCCCGGCTAGGAAGCAAAGAGAAATTTCCCCCAACAAGACAGCAAAAAATAAAGCAACGGTAGTTTTAATCCTTTCCTTTTAGGGAAAACCTAAAATTATGGCTATACATAATGCAAATGCTAATCGTGATGACAGAGAGTTAAATATCTATAAGACCACAAATCTCCTGTAAAGAATACGGGAAACTCTGCCAGCTACACATCCCCTGACAGAACAAAATGAATACCCACCAGGATTTGAGATGTCTCTGAAAATCCATCCCCAACAAGTGTCCAGAGACAGAGGTCATGATGACCGACACATCCTGTAATGATCAAAACATCCTGTAAGGAATCCTTAAAATAAATTTTAGGGAACCTCTGATGAAAATTTTTACATTAGCTAGACCAGTTGCAAACATTTTTAAAGAAAACAAAGAACATGGCATAGTTTAGTGTATTTCACTCTCGCTGTGGATTTTTTAAACATCTCGTGTTCTATACCACATTTTCATTAGTGATCATTCCTGAAATGTAAGGAACAAGAATAATAATAAAAAAAAAAACACAGAAAATAAACACAGATGCAATCAGAAAAATGCCCCCTTTCATTGATGGTCAGTTGCCTCCATACATTGGCGGTCAGTGGAGAAATGCCCTCTTACACTGGTGGCCAGCAAAAGAAGAGCCCCTTGCACTGGTGGTCAGTGGAGAATTTACACACTTAAAGCAGAGCTCCACCCAAAAGGGGAAGTCCGCTTTAAGGACTGCTCCCCCCGCTCCCCATTAAGGATTAGCACCTTTGGGGGGAGGGGGGAGCGGTACCCGAATTTGACAAATACCCGCTCCCACTTCCGGTCCGATCGCCTAGGCGTTTGGAAGCAGAAGGTGTCCTCCCTCCCTCCCTGTAGGACTACAGGATCATTCATGAAGCGCAGCGCTTCTCGCGCATGAGCAGTGGGTACCCGGCTGTGAAGCCACAAGCTGTCACAGCCGGTGCCCACACTGAAGATACCGGCCTCCAGGAATACAGGATGGGAGGTGAAACTGGCTGCGGGGGACACCACGAGACCGAGGGACAGATAAGTGGCTGTTTTTTAAAAGTCAGCAGCTACAGAATTTGTAGCTGCTGACTTTTATTTTTTGACAGGGTGAGTGGAACTCCGCTTTAAATTGGAGATCAGTGGAAAAGTGCCACCTTAAAGTGGAACTGCACTGTATCTGAGCATCAGAAACACCCCCTGGCATTTCTGGCAGTGGTTATCTTGAGTAAAGGCAGATGATTCATGTAGCATTTACTTCCTTGAATCCATCTGCCCTTAGCTCAGGCATCGGCTAAGCTGAGAACCCTCCCTCCTCTCCTGAAGTCTTCTGGGATGTATGACATAATTTACCTAGGCATGGAAACCAGGAAGTAATTGAAAAAAAAAAAAAAGTTTAAAACAAGTAAAAATTATATATTTTCCTATCTACTTACTAGTGCTAGCAGCATAAAAATAGTCAATGTTGATTGAGAGAGTGAAGTTCCACATTAAAGCCCAATTCCAGGAAAATCGCCCTCCCCCTGCAGCAGATTTTTTCACCAAGTACAATAGGGTGACATTAACCCTGTATTGTAAATTGGGGAGACTGGAGTGTGACCGGCGAAAGTCAAGATTTACAAAGCTTGAGCAGGGAGCTTGAGAAGGGAGCGTGCTTCCGCCCTTAGTGGCTTAGCGCATGCTTCGAAACGCGTCGCTTTACATGCTGGACCCCCATACGTCATCACGCTGACACCGAAGATGCGCTCTGAGGTGCGCTCCAGACGCCATCATTAGAGACTTCACGTGGCGGCCGGCAATCCTGCTACATCCACAGTCTCCTTCGGTGCGTACGTGGCGTTACAGCGAGGACACGGCTATACCTTATACTTACCTGAACCTTCCTTCTTTTATACAATATGAGTGGCTTTACATTATTTCCTTAGCCCCATGGCGCTGGCGCCTCCTGGCCCTTTAAGGTTTCCAGAAGACAGGAGGCGGGCGGGGTTTTAGGGTCATGTGACCGCCATGATTCGCTGTCACATGATCCGGAAAGGTCCCGATCGAAAGAGATCGGGACCTTTCCCTGAGTACCGGACATGTTTGCTGGGAGCGTTCTCAGCACCTTTTTTTTTTTTTTTAAATAGAATGCAAATGTGTGGCTGCTCGGCAACTAGGCCCAGACGCCAGGAGGCCACATATTTGCGTTCAGCCGGCGCCAAGAGGTTAATAAGCATCGTTACATACTGCACTTAGAGGCGCTTTTTTCCTTCTTACTTTTACAAAGCAGGATGTAGGGATCATGGAAAGCATTTACTCCTTAATCCTCCACACTAAATGAGCAGATAACCTTTGTAGTGCAGGGCCTTCCATTGTTCATGGAACTCCCTGTACTTCTGGAGGAACCCTGGTTGAGAATGGCAGCTCTATATAAATGTCTGTGTTCTGCAGTCTTGACCTCTTTTTATTAACCTCCCTAGCGGTATGATTATTTCCGATTTTTTGTGCTGAAAGCGGTACCATTTTTTTGCATGGAAATATGTAGTTTTTTATTGTAGGCTGTAATTTTTAGGAATAACTCACTGAAATCTGTCCGAACAAGAGTCTAGTAAACATCCCGGGTATGGTAAAACTTGAAACACGAAATCATAAATTATAATTTAATAAATAATCATAAAAAATAATAATAGAATAATAATAAATTTAATTCAATAATATAATCAAACCAAAAACACTGAAATTTGAAATACAGAGGCAAATTCGCACATCGCTGAGCAAAGTCGCAAAAACGTTTTCAGTGTCTGATGAGGAATTCCCCCCACGAATCATTATCACTCAATTCTGCAAGTGGTTCTGATTTACTATCGCTGTTCTAAAACCGCTTTTGACGTAAAGGGACGCTTTTTGGACGCCATGGACTTTTCTAAGTTTCCAGGCAGAAAGAACAGTCAAAATGCAGCAGGACACAGGACAAAGCAGTAGGGACAAAATGTATGTGAAATGCATTGAAACAGCAATGACAGCAAAAATGACATTTTTAAAAAATTTCAAATTTGCCGCCGGTTCCGGCGCCCGTACGTCCCGACATCACAGGGACCGGAACACGGAAGCCGGATGCCGGCATCGGCCTTAGGAGATGGCCGGGGACGCTGCAGGAGACATTGCGGGAGCGAAGGACAAGGTAAGTGCTGCAGGGACTCCCTGAGCAACGCCGCATGCCCGAGTGTAGCTCGGGGTTACCGCTCTTGGTACTCAAACTTTACCCCGAGCTACACTCGGGAATACCGCCAAGGAGGTTAATCTGCACAAATACTTTTAGCATTTCGGCTACTCACCTTTCCAAACAAATGATACTCATATTCATAGATCTTGTTAAACTTCGAAAATCCTTCTCTCTGATTTAAATATAAATAAAAATTCAGTTTACAAAGTTATGACACAATAATAAAGCACTTGATAATTTTTCATTATTCTAAAACGATATGGATTGTGGGAATTCAGAATGTGGCAGAACCAATCACTGCTGGACTCTGAATAGGAATATTCAGTAAATTCAACATGCAACAGTGTGCCCATATTAAATTTGTATTCATTTTTTTCCACACAAATAGAGCTTGCTTTTGGTGGTGTTTATTCACCGCTGGGGTTTTTTATTTTTTGCTAAACAAATAAAAAAAACGACCAAAAATTAAAAAAACAACAACATTTTTTCTTAGTTTCTGTTACAAAATTATGCAAATAAGTAATTTTTCTTCTGATGAGGCTACATGGACACTGATGGGGTTGCACTGATAATCAGTGCCCTGGTTGTCTGTGTACATGCCCCTGTCACACTTGCCAGTTACTCTTTCTCCTCTCCTCCCACAGTGACAGTGCATAAGGAAAGCACTGTTAATAACCAGCAAGTGTGTTTACATTGGGGTCAGTGGTGATTGGACACAACTGATCACACGGTAAAGGACTGCTGCGTTTGGCCCTTCCCCCCCCACCAATATGTGACTAACTGTGGCCAAAGGACACAGTAATCATACAGCAAACCACAGCGGGCGCGCAGGGGCCGTGGTTCTGGAAGGAAGTCTATGGGCGCCCCCCCAGAACTGGATGACTGCGCTGTAGCAGTTTTCCGGCTATAGCACAGTCAAGAACTGGTTAATAGGAAAGCAGAGGGACTGGCATGACAACCAGGGATTTCACACAAAGGAAGCAATACAAAGAGAACAGGAGACTTTTTCATATAAGTACATGGTACAGTAGGCACATATCAGGAATAGGAAATGCTGGGAATACATACTCTTTAACCTCTGACTAGAGATGCTTGTTACCTGAAACAATCATGCAGCCAGTGAAATCACAACTGAACTCAGAATGCCTGTCATACATCAGGATCACCTGATTCAATAGCCAGAAACAGCCAAACTACTAGCATTTTCACTATGATGCCAACAAAAGGATACTGACTGAGCCTTATTGTCCTTTTTAACTGATTTATTACATGGCGTACCTATACAAAAAATGATAATGGATTTTAGAGACTCCAGTGAAGCATAAAGTCATAAAAAGAGGTACATGTTACACTCACCCTCCTCATCCGCCCGTTGGACATGATATCAGAAATCCCCTTGGCAGCGTCATTTTTCTCCGCCACACAAAGGACTTTCTGGACAGGAGTCCTGAGGGACATGATCGAGGAGTTTTCAGAGCAGAAACGGATGCTGGTTCCAGTCAGGATCTTAAACCTGCGAAATGTCAAAATACTTCTACAGAAAATCATCACAGAAGCAGCAAGCGGTACTTGGGTCCTGCAAACGTCATGGCTGGACTCGGTCCATAAAATGCCCCTTGAAAACGAGTGAAGAATACAAGGATTTCAGGTGTACCTGTAACGATCAAAAGTTGAGAGGTCAATATTCAAGAAGTAGTTGACGTTACGGAACACTGATGCCACACACAAATGGATTTTATACGACACCACCTGCCTGGAGTTTTCATGTTCTCCCTGTGCGGGTTTCCTCCGACACTACAAAAGACATGAGGTTAATTGGATCCTGTCTAAATTGTCCCTAATGACATGAATGTGAGTAGGTTTAATTGGATTAGGGACCTTAGTTGTACACCCCTTGAGGGTTAGGGACCTTAGATTGTCCCCCTTGAGTATTAGTTGTACGCCCCTGAGGGTTAGGGACCTTAGATTGTGTTGAGGGTTAGGGACCTTAGATTGTACACCCCTTGAGGGTTAGGGACCTTAGATTATTTTTACATATATATTGTACATTCACATCAGTCCCTAACCCTCAGTCCCTAACCCTCAAGGGGCGTACAATCTAAGGTCCCTAACCCTCAAGGGGCGTACAATCTAAGGTCCCTAACCCTCAAGGGGCGTAAATCTAAGGTCCCTAACCCTCAAGGGGCGTACAATCTAAGGTCCCTAACCCTCAAGGGGTGTAAATCTAAGGTCCCTAACCTCAAGGGGCGTACAATCTAAGGTCCCTAACCCTAACAATCCCCTAAAGGGGCGTACAATCTAAGGTCCCTAACCCTCAAGGGGCGTACAATCTAAGGTCCCTAACTTTCATACATACACATACTAGGAACAATTTAGACAGGAGCCAATTAACCTACCAGCATGTCTTTGGAGTGTGGGAGGAAACCCACGCAGGCACAGGGAGAACATGCAAACTCCAGGCAGGAGGTGCTGTGCCTGGGATTCAAACCAACAACCCCTAGTACTGCCAGGCGGAAGTGCTAACCATTTAGCCACTGTGCGGCCCAATCCTTACTGACACTTTTTTACTTCAACTGACTTTATCTATGGGTTTGGTTCCTCTTGCCAAGCCCTACACATTTACAGAACACAACAGTGATCTAGGGGTAGTGGCACTATGATTTCTCCAGATTCTCTCTACATCACCGTAGTATTCTATCGCAACCAGGGACGTATTTTTGCCTACGGCGGCATTTTTCAGGGGGGCAACACCACCACCAAGAAGAAGGGACACATGCGACATGGGGAGCAAGTGGGATAGGATTCAAGAGAGGCTGCGGGTTGCTTGACGGTGTATGCAGAGCCTGACTGTCGTTCCCAGGGACATCAGGAGCTGCTAGTGTCTTTCTCTCTAGTGCCGGGCGGGGGGGGATGCCGGTATACGAGTGGAGTTGGTAGTGGAAGCCTTTCTAGGGGGGGGGGGGGCAGGGGTGTTGTTGGTCAATGTCAGGCTCTCTCTGTGGGGAAAGGGGGGATTTCTGTGATGCCTAGGGCAGCACAAAACCTAAATACGCCACAGATCGGGGGGGGTGATTGCCGGTATATGGGTGGAGGTGGTAGTGGAAGCCTTCCTTGGGGGGGGGGTGGTTGCCGGTATATGGGTGGAGGTGATAGTGGAAGCCTTTCTTGGGGGGGGGGGTTGGAGATGGTTGCCAGTATATGGATGGAGGTAGTAGTGGAAGCCTTTCTTGGGGGGGGGGGGGGAGTCAGGTGGCTGCCGGTATATGGAAGGAGGTGGTAGTGGAAGCCTTTCTTGGGGGGGGGGGGCAGGGGTGTTGTTGGTCAATGTCAGGCTCTCTCTGCGGGGAAGGGGGGGGGATTTTTGTGTTGCCTAGGACAGCACAAAACCTAAATACGCCACAGATCGGGGGGGGGGGGGGGGGGGGGATGGTTGCCTGTATATGGGTGGAGGTGGTAGTGGAAGCCTTTCTTGGGAGGGGGGGGGGGGGGGGGCCCGAGGTGTTGTTGGTCAATGTCAGGCTCTCTCTGCGGGGAAGGGGGGGATTTTTGTGTTGCCTAGGACAGCACAAAACCTAAATACGCCACAGATCGGGGGGGGGGGGATGGTTGCCTGTATATGGATGGAGGTGGTAGTGGAAGCCTTTCTTGGGGGGGGGCAGGGGTGTTGTTGGTCAATGTCAGGCTCTCTCTGCGGGGAAGGGGGGGGATTTTTGTGTTGCCTGCCTAGGACAGCACAAAAACCTAAGTACACCACAGATCGCAACGTAGGTATTGGCAGGAGAAACCAAAATACCCGACGCTCTGCCATGTTTTTATAGCCATCTATGTCCTTACCAGGAAGATTTACTGTCACATCCTGTCCCGGTGACACAGGACAAGAAATAGGAGGGTGCGGGTGTCACCAAAACACACATAGCAACAAAAACCTGATAAGACCATTCTGCTGAATAATTGTGCGTTTGTGTCCCCATCAGATAGATATCCCTTCACTTCCTGTCTTTGTCACACCCTGTTACCAATACAGGAAGTCAGAAGAAATCTCTCCAATAGGGACACCTTTCAAGGTCTGCAGGTCAAGGGATATCAAACGGGAGGGTCTATCAAAGCCCCAAGGGCTGGACCACAGTGCATTGATACTGCACGCCCTTTGCTGTACAGTACCACAAAACCCATGACAACACACAGACCACATTGCCATGCCATGCATTTTGAATAGCACCCTAATGTGCATGTGCTGTATCGCCACCACAACCCGCTCACCATAGCAGATATGTTGTGGCACATTTAAAGGCTTTGTTTACATGAGTGGCTGGGGGAGGTAAAAATAAGTGGTTAAAAGAGAAGTATGGCTTGTTTTTATTTTATTTCCAAACCACACTTACCTAGGTGGATGCAGAATTGGTCTGATGCTGCATCTGTCCCCCGCCGGAGGTCCTGGCCCCTCCCTTCTGCCAAGTGCCCCAACACCAAGTAGCTTGCTATGGGGGCACCCAGGCTCGCTGCTCTGTGTGTCCATTCAAATACAGAGCCATGGTTCGGTCCTGCCCCCTCTTTCCCCTTACTGGCTCACTAGCTGAGATTGACAGTAGCATCTGTCTCAACCAATGAGGAGGGAGAGTCCCCGGAGAGCAGAGGCTCTCATGCACATCGCTGGATCGTGATAGAGTTCAGGTGAGTATTAGGGGGATAGGGGGCAGGAGCTGCTCACAGAAGGTTATTTACGTTCATGCATAGAATGCATGAACGTAAAAAAACCTTGAACCTTCACAACCACCAGTTTTACCTTCCCTGACTACCCTGCTGCAAATTACACTTAAATTCTGTCTTACACCTAATTATCCTTAAAACTGTCCCCCCCCCCCCCAACATCTATACTGACTAACCTAAATAAGAATGATGTCTATACTTGCCTACTTTAGCTGGCTCAGGTCTGATCACGATTCCCCTTATATCAGCCAGCAGCAGCTGCAGGGGAGAAGAGGAAACACTGAAAACAGACGGCCCATTGAAGCCTATGAGTGGCAGGCTTTACCAGCCATTGCTGAGTGATCTCTCCTCTCCCCTGCAGCTGCCACTGGCTGACAGAAGGGAAACCTGTGACTGAAGCGGACTAAAAGTAGGTAAGTATATATATCTATCCATTCAGTCGTATCTGACCCTTGGCGATTGCATGGACCGTCACTCACAAGCGACTTCTTCCATTAATTCTCTTAGCAATTATTTTTACAGGTAGGTTGCCAGGTCTTTCCCCAACCCCCACTATGCAAGAGCTCCTACATGGCCAGGGATGAAACTAGGACAATGTAGACAGGAGCCAATTAACCTACTAGCATGTCGTTGGAGTGTGGGAGGAAACCGGAGCACCCGGAGGAAACCCACGCGAACACAGGGAGAACATGCAAACTCCATGCAGGAGGCGCCATGGTTGGGAATCGAACCCATGACCCAATTAGGTAAGTATATACATCTGTCTAAGACAGGATAGTCCATATAGGTGTTAGCAGGGGGAGGGGCAGTTTAAAAATATAACTAAAGGCAACACTTTATTTTTTTAGTTCGAGAGTGGAGAGGGATTAGACCCCCCTGTCGGTTTTTATTGCTGTGTCCCAGTTAGGGAGATCCACCCTCTCTATTTGTCCTGTGCACCATTATCATTGAAAGTAAAATAAAATCCCAAATATTTGGGTTGTCCCCAGAAAAGTAATAGAGGGGAAATCTTCCAATGGGGACACTAGTTCTGGTGACCCCAAAAGAATTCCCTTTAATATACAGGAGTTTCCTCTGTTTTGCTGATTTCCTGTTTTGGCTATGGGACAGGAAGTGAAGGGAAATCTCCGCAATGGGACACAGATCTGACCGGGGTTATAACCTTCCCTTACTCTATCCAAAATGAAGAAACAAAAAAAAAAGTTTTGCCTGTAGTTGTACTTTAAGGCCAGGTCCACACCTGTGCAGTTTGTGTTTGATCCGTTTTGTGTTTTTGCACTTGTGTTTTCAATCCATTTTTATGCTTTTTATTCTTGTTGCTAGGCAGATTAAACCGCAAAAACTCATCAAAAACGCATTACACGCTATTCTACAGCGTCTCCGTTGAAGTCTATAGAACCAAAAACGCAACATTTTGCATTTAAAAAAGTCCCCCGACCCTTTCCAAAAAGCGCACCGGATGAAAAGGTGGAGATGTAAACGTGTCCCATAGGAAATCATGTTATCTGGACTTCTGTGCGTTTCTGGAAAACGCAAAACACTGCAGAAAACGCTTAGGTGTGAACCTAGACTTATGCAGGCCATAGATGGTTCGTTTATCGGGCGATTTTTCATCCGAAAGAATAATCGGCAGATTTTCTCACTGTTAGTGGGGCAATGGCATTGGCCCATTT